GCAGTATCCAGACACACAGAGAACACCAAAACTCAACAGCAAAAAAAAAAAAAAAAAAAATCAATTAGAAAGTAGGGAAAGGGATTGGTGGTAGTGTGCCTGTCTAGCAAGTGCAAGGCCCTGAGTTCAACCCTCAGTACTTCCAAAAAATAGGCAAAAGATTTGAGCAAATATTTACCAAAGAATATATACCAAAAAGCATATCTCATTAAAAGATACTCAATACCATTGATTTCAAGGAAATACTAATTGAAACCAGAATGAGCTCTCAGTACCAGAGTAGGCACAATGAAAACAATGACACCACCAAATGCTGGTGAGGATGCAGGGCAACTGAGTTGCTCATGAGTGACTAGTGAGGTGTAAATGGTACAGCTCCACTAGAAAACAGTTGTGTTCTCTCATAAAACCAGTCATGCAGCTGCCATCCCAGCAGTTGCCTTCTTGAGCATTTATCCCAGAGAAATAAAATGTATGTTCACATAAAACCCCACACAAATGTTCATAGCAGGTGTATTTGTAACAGAAAAAAAAACGGAAATGACTATTACACTGCTCTTCTGTGCAAACTATAACAAACTATAGTACTTAATAAGCTATAGAATAATAGTCAGCAATGAAGAAGAAAGAACTGTTGGTGTACACAATAGCTTGGGTCATTCTTAAGGGAATTAGACTGAGTACAAGAAATGTTGATCCCAAATGATTACATACTATATAATTTCATTAATATAACATTTTTAAGTGACAGCAGTTTTTATGGGTAACAGATTGGTGGTTGGCAGTGGTAAGAATGCCATGGACAGTGACAGTTGGGACATGTGTGTAGTTATAAAAGGGAAATTGAGGGATTCCTTGGTGATAGAACTCTTCTGGGCATTGAAGCTACATGTGTAATAAAATTGGGTAGAACTACACACACACACACACACACACACACACGAAAAGTACCTTTGGGGAAATTTGTTAAGATTGGTGGATTGGGTTGATGTCAATATCAGGGTTGTGAGACTGTCCTAGGGTTTTGTTACAGTTGGGGGAAGCTGGACAGGAACTGTCATTGTATTATTTCTTACAGTTGCACACTCATCTACAATAGTCCCTATAAAAATTCAATTAAGTAAAAAGCAAAGATCATCCCACATTTAAGGAAAATCTCTGATATGGGAAAACAAACAGATTAAAAAAAAGGAGAAGGAAAAGGAAGGAAGCAGAAAAAAAACCAAATATTGCCATGAATAATATTAGATAAAATGTTTACATAGTAAAAGTGCAAGCCCTTTAAAAAAGGGACTTCCAGAGAGCAAAGGAGAAAGTTTGGAAATTAAAAATTATGACAGTAAAAATATAACACTCAAAGAAACGTTGGGAGATACATTTGAAGAAATCGCTCAGGAAATAAGATAAAGAATAGATGAGAACATGACAGGCTAGGTAAGAAAGTTAGATGACCAGCTGAGAAACCCAATGTCTAAATAATCAGAGCTTAAGAAATAGCAGAGAAAAGCACAGGGAAGGAAATGTTTAAAGCCGAAATTCAAGAATGTCCCCAGAGTGAAAGGGTCACCCAGTGTCCATATCAGTGGATGAGGGAAACTCCACACAAGCACAGCATGGTGAAGGGTTACAAAACTGGAGATAGAGTGAGGGCCAGGCACAGTGGTTCATGCCAGTAATCCCAGCTAAATGCAAGGCATAGGTAGTAGGCTTATGGTTTGAGGCTGGCTGGAGCAAAAAGTGCAAGACCCTATCTGAAACATAATTAAAGCAAAAATGACTGGAAGTGTTGTTCAAGTGATAGTACACTTGCCTAGGAAGTATGAGGCCCGAGTTCAAAGCCCATTTCTGTAAAGAAAAGAAAAGAAATACTGCTACATGCTATATGCTAAGTGAGAGAAGTCAGAGCAAAAGGTCGTTTATTTCATGATTGCACTTACATGACATACCCAGGAAGGGTCAACCCATCACAACGGGTCAGAGATTAGTGGTTGCCAGGAGCTGGGAGAAGGAGAAACTAGAACTACTGTTTCTTCGATGTTAGGTTTCCTTGGGGTAGTAAAAATGTTTTGGAACCAGAAAGGTGGTAGCTGTACAACACTGTAAATATCACTGACTCATTCACATTATATTATGCGAAGTTCACCTCAATTTAAAAAATGATAGAAAAATAATTAAAGGTTAATTAACTAGAAGAACCACCCCATGGGCCCAGTGGGGGTGGGGGGTCCTATCATTCAAGCAGACTTCGGGTACCTTCCAGGCAAGTTCTCATGACTACATGGGGCTGGCTAATGGCAGGGCAATGGTCGTGGGGCGGGAGCAGGAAGGAGCTGCTGGCATCGTCTCCATGTGGCCACCAGTGGCAGAATGAGGATGGGGCCACCTTCTAGGTTGGGTCTATGAGTCAGGTTTCCCCAGAGAAACAGGAGGCAAAGCACACATATAAAAATAGACCAGGCTTCATCATGAGAACTGGCGTACCTGGTTATGGAGATTCAGGAAAGCCAGTGGTGGATTTCAGGCTGAGTCTGAAGGCCTGAGACCCAGTGGATCCCATGGGATAACTCCCAGCCCTCGTTCCTGAGAACCACGACATGTGACGTCCAAGGGCACGAGGGCAGAAGATGGCTGTCCACCTTTAGAAGAGAGTGAATTTGTGTTTCCTTTGCCTTTTGATCTCTCTGCGCCCCAGAGGCATTGAGAGTGCTCACCTTCAGTTAGGTGAGGATGGTTCTTCTTTACTTAGTCCAGTCACTCAGCTGCTAACGTGTTCTGAAAATGCCCTCACAGATACACCCACAAATAGTTCTCTACCAGCTACGTGAGCATCCCTTATCAGTCAAAGTGACACCTAAAATTAACCATCACCTTGGGTAAGATGTGTGTATTTTGATGAGTTTTCTTTCTCCCTCCCACTTCCCTTTTGTTTTATAAAGGGTCTGGTTGGTGGTGGTCACATTGAAATAGAGTACATGTGTTTCAAAACACCAAGATGGATCACAGATGAGCTCAAAGAGGAACAACCACCCATGGCCCACACAGTCTGGGTTTGGAGCCAGGTGTGGTCAGCCGGTAAGGCAGGCACACCTCCCTGGGACAGTGTCTTGCAGGGTAGCTATGCAACCCCAGAGCTGGAGTCTCTGGCTGTCTTGGCAAATCAGTTAATACCGTTTTCGCTAAGTTGCTTTCTGCTTAAACTACCTAGAGGGGTTCTGTCACAGGCAACCAATAGCCCTGGTTCTGAATGGTGCCATGTGCCCAGTGCTGTGTCAAAGTAGAGGGGAAGTGGTATCTCCCAGTGAGCATAGCTTGGGATCACACAGACATGGGTTTGAATCCCAATTCCACTGGCATCTGGCCACATGTAAGGGGCTTTACCTCTCTGAGCCTGTTTCCTCAGATCCTTGGATCTGAGGTGTTAGAAGGCCATAGGTGAGGAGCAACTGTGAAGTGTTCCCAGTAGCTGGGACCCATGGTCACCAGGGTACACAGAGGTAGGTTTAGCCATGAGTTTCCCAGAGATCCTATCTCCAGATGACTGAGGCAGGATGAGAAGTTCACAGTGGGGTTCTCAGGAGCTTCTTTTCTTTCCTGGAGGAAGCAGGATGAACCCTATCCTCTTCCCCAAGGCTATCATCTGTGGAGATGAAGCAGATTTCTCCCACCTCCAGCCAGCCAGAGCTCTGTTGAGACACTGCTCTCCCACGGTTATCACCAACCCTCCAGAGACAGTTTTACATTTTCAAAAAATTTGTTTAGAGACCAGGTTTTGGTAGGTTGTGCAGGCTGACCTCGAATTCCTGGGCTCAACCAATCCTCCGCCTCAGCCTCCTGAGAAGCTGGGATGACAGGTGCCCCACCACCCTCAGCCACCATACTTTAGAAACCAGCTCCACAGTCTTGACACCTAGCAGCTTGGCCCCTGGCACTTCAAGGGCCCAAGTCCAGGAGAGGATATTCTCAGGGCTCTCCTTGCCTTCCCATGCCCCCCAGAAGTAAGGCATGACTGTGGAACCCAGATAAGGAAATACAAACAGAAGTGAGATGCCAGTTCTGGATGGCAGCTCTGAAGGGCCAACGTAATTCCTCACAGGTTGAGGAATTTTCCTCCCTGACTCTGTCACCCTGGAGACCTGTGTCCACATGACCATGCCACAAGGCCAAAACCGTAATTCTGAGCTCCACATGGAGAAGGCCTGCCTTGGAGCCTCACCCAGAGCCATGTGTGTTGCGCCTTTGAGGTGTGGAGGCGGTTTGTCACTGCAGCAGGACCCAACCTGACCTGACTTAAAAGCCATGGCTCTGGAGAGGAGAGCTACATCATTTGGCATGGACACAGGGCAGCAATAAGCTGGCGTGGGGGTGGGGGGGTGGGGGTGGGGTCTCCCATGATTTAGAAGGAAAGCGAGACCCACTTTGCCCCACTGTTCTTGCCCAGGATGTGAAGTGATTGTGAACTGCTTGGGCCCAAAGAACAGAGTTGGAGGAAAATGAATGTGCGGGCCTTCCTACCATGTGGCCATCACCAAAAGGCCACAGCCCTGCATGGGACCTCTGGAGTATGGAGGTGGGAACACTGAAACAAGGGCAGAGGTGGGGGGTGGGGTAGATGGAAGGACAAAGTATGCATAGGCTGGGCAAGAGAGAAGTGGAAGCACAGAGAAGCCAAATCCTCACAAGGGGCCCCCAGGTCTGCCAGTGGGCCTTGTTTTGAGGGTGTCTTGAGTGAACTTCTGTTCCTGTCAATGAAATGGCTTTTGGCAAAAAGGACACATCAGCCTAGGAATCTGCAGCTCCTCTCTGACCAGTCAGTGAACCCCCTCCTCCCCCCCCACCCCCCGCAGGTGCTGCCCAAGACTTCTCTCCCAACCCCCTCCAGTCCTGTCTACCCTGCTCTGCAGATGGGGGAGGGGTGTCACAAAAGCAGAGCCTCATCCACATGTCCCCAAGGCCTTGCATTCCATCCAGCAGCATAGCATGTATGCTGCATACATTACCTGTGCAGTGAGTAATTTTCAGAGGCCCCCAGGGACTGAAGGGGACAGAGGGAGGGCTGAGTCCCTATTACTCATGAGAGCATCCCCAGGGCTGAGCACATGAACGGGAGAGGCTAGTCCTTGCTGTCCCAGGGCTCCTATGGCTTCATGCCACACTTGCAGAGGCCCTTGCTTCTGTGGACACGGCCTTGGGGGTTATGACCTCAGCAGCCCCAGGACCTCTGTCTTTCAGGCCTCTCTGTGTCTGGCCTAAGACCCAGCCATAGTCAGGGACCCACCTCTGCTCTTGCCTTGGCTCCCAGCTCTGGGTGTTCCCTCAAGCCCAGTCCACTCTTAAGGGAGATGGGGTCCCTGGATGCTCCGGGGCACGGAGGTCCATGGAACCTGTGTGCTGAGCTGTTGGTACAAAGATGTAAAGAGGAGGCCAGGCCATGACAGGAGTTGGACTGACTTTATTTCCCTTCATTCTTCTCACTTGCACGCCTGCTGTTCCCCACAAACCCTGTGGCTGTGGGGTGCCACTCATGACATCAAGGGTCACACACCTGGGCCCGGCCTTTCTGCCACCACACAGCCCTGAAGGGCACTGTGGAGACTGTGACAGCATGAATCAGGGCCAGAGGCTCAGGCTGACCCCAACTCTGGCTCCCCGAGCTGTGGTCTTGGGGCTTAGGTGGACCTCATCTCTCTGACCACTCCACTCAGCTGGCCCAAGACCAGAGCATCCAGGGGGCTGGGGAGGGGCAGGTCCAGGCTTCAGAGCTGCAGAGTCCAGCTGGGCAGGGGGACCCCAGGTGGTCTCCACTGGCTGGGATGATCCCAAGCCCCCTCTGCTGAGCCCTGGGAAGTGACTATGGTGCCCCAGTCCCCTCATTCCAATATCCAGGTGCTTGCTAATTTGTTTTAAAGATAAAAAGGACGTGCAAAGGCTGGCAAAACAAGACGCCCTGTCCATACCAGCACTGCCGAGGTTCTATTATTGCATCTGGCCCCAAAGGAGCTCTGCTTAGCACCAGGGACACAGGGGCCTCCTGGGACAGGGCCACACCCATCTACAGTTGCAATGACCTTCCTAACCAGTGCCCATCCAGCTATCTGGACCCCCCTGCCTGCCCCTAGAGTAGATGTGTAGACCAGGAAGCCCAACTCCTGGAACAGGGCTCCACACTCGTTTTTGACCTCTGCTTGTTGAAGTATGGCCTGACAGTCCAGGTCCCAGCCTGATCAGGGATCCCAGGCCACTCAGGCTACAAGGGGCCAGCAGGTGATAAGGCTTCTAGCTGCTACGGGAGGCCCTGGTACCAGTGATGGGTTGGAGAACCCATGGGGTTCCTTGTCTACAGTCCAATTGAGAGATAGACTTTTTGTTTTGTTTTTTAAGTAAAATGTGAGCTCTAGAGAGCTGCCAGGCACTGGGGCCAGAGGTTAGAAATAGCAACGGGGAGGGAAGGAGACCCTGAGGACATCACGGAAGCCCAGAGATCAAGGGGTCCAGGGGAGGGAAAGAGCTATAGAAATCCGGGGTCCCTGCAAGAAGCTGGATGCCCAGCCTTGGGATGGGGGCACCATAGAGCCCAGAGCCAAACAGAGAGCCTTCCTTTCTCAGGGAGGGGGCCTCCCTTCCCCCACCCCAGCAGACAGGAGGTGCTGAGGGTGCTTCTGTTGACTCTGGCTGGTGTACTTCAGCTGCAATCTTAGCCTCAGGGAGGCCAGGGAAGGGCCCCAGCATGGGGAAGCTGCCCTCCAAGCCCACAAAACCATCAGCATGGTGTGGCTTGGATGACAAATCCTCAAATCACTCCGGTACCTTGGGCCTGCCCACATCTGTACAGAATAAAGTGCTTCGTTTATTGATGATTAAAATGTCCCCAGCCCTCTGCCCCAACGCCGTGGGTCTCCAAGGAAGTCAACGGGGTTCATCACTTCCTTAGTCCTCTTGGGCACAGGCCTCTTGCCACACCAGCCATGCTGGGAAGGTGGTGGTGTGTTGGGGGCAGGGAGGGGGTAAGGTGCAGCGTATAACAAACGACCGTATAAACACAATAGGAGAGAGCTTAACTAAGAGACATGTAGCTTATGGATCCTCCTCCCCACTTTAAAGGCAGGAATAAAGACGTTAAATGACAACAAAAACGGGTGTCCTATTAGTGCCTGCCTTCTATTAGTGCAAGCACTGGGCCCTGGCTGAGCTTCCTGCCAGCAGGGCCTGAGCATGCAGGCTCTTCTCACCACTAGGGCGTGGGCACCCTACCCATGGGTGCAGGGGCCCAGGAGGGACAAGGTGCCAGCCAAGGGGAGGCTATGGCCTTTGGGGAGCAGACATACACAGACACATGCATCTCCTGGTGAGGGAGATGCAGCCAAGGGTAGCTGGCCAGGGATGGGTGCTCTGTGAACAGCAGCCCTGCCTCCTGCCCCACTGATAGCACCTTGAAACCCTAATACACTCTCCAAGCTCCTCCTGGGGACACAGGCCCTGGGGGCTCACCCACTGGCAGGGCCTCCTTGACTGCAGTACCCTGTAGCTGATGCTGTGGACTCAGCCTGTCTGCCAACCCAGGGCCTGGCCCACAGCACGCTGAGGCCCAGGTGCAGCCTGGGGATTCTTGGGCCTGCCCGGCAGGGATGTAACTGGAAAAAGCAAACCTTTGGGGGCCAGCCCCTCCCGCCCAGCTCCACAGCTCCACATGGCGTAGAGCAGGGCTCTGCAGTCTTTGTACCTGGCCACTCCCCACCCAATGTGCTTTGTGTCCGCTCTCAAGCTCTGCCTCAAGTGTTCACTGCCCTCAAGTGGGTCCACAATTCCTCCAAGGGGAGCCAGCACCCCAACTTCTCCCACAACCCTTCAAGAGAGAGCAAGTTAGGGGAATAGAGGAGCTGGAATGAGCCGCTGAGGCTGACCCAGGCCCAGCCTGGCTCAGGCCTCAGAGTGATCAGCCATGCCCGCTGCCCAGGCCCCTTCCTCCCAAGGACCTGTGGCCTCCAGCACCACCTCACCTGGAGGGGGTACTGCAAATGGCTTCCTCACTTTTCCTTTACTTCCGGGGAGTGGGGAGAGTAAAGGCTTCAAGGAGGTGCAGAAAGGGGGGGGGGGAGGCGGGGCCTCATCCAGCCACCCCTGCAGAGGTGGGGCAGTACCACCACCCTTCCCAGGAAGTGGGGGCCAGTAGAGTCCCCCTGGCGCGGGCCGGGCTCAGGTGTCCGCAGGAGCGACTGGGTCAGTTGGCGCTCATCCTCCCACTGCTGTTGGCAGTGGTGGAGAAGAGCGGGGGTGGTGGTGGCAGGTGCGACGGCGGTGGCAGGGGCGGGGGCAGCCCGGGGAGCAGGGGTGGTGTGGCTAGGCTCGCGGCGCACGGGGGGCCGTCGGCGGGCAGAGGGTGGCTGACGCGGAAGCACTTCTCCTTGTGCGCCTTGAGCATGTTGGAGAAGCGGAAGCGCTGGCCGCACACGTCGCACGGGTATGGCTTCTCACCCGTGTGCGTGCGCCGGTGCCGCTTCATGTTGGGCCGGCTGGTGAAGCTCTTGCCGCAGATCTCGCAGATGTACGGCTTCTCCCCTGGGGTTAGGGTGGCAGTGGGGCGTCACCACACCCCAGCCTGGCTGCTCTTAAGTTCTCCCGACCCGGACCTTTTTAGTACTAGCCTCACCCAACCCTGGGCCACCCGAAGGATGGCGCTGAGTTTTACACCAGAAGGTAAACTGAGACCCAGAGTTGAGAAGGTGTCCTGTGCAGGGCTAAGTCCCCACCCCCTGCCGCCGCACCTGTGTGGGTCTTCATGTGCTCATCGAAGTACTGCTTCATGTTGAAGTCTTTGCCGCACCACTGGCACATGAACTGCTTGTGGCCGATGTGGATACTCATGTGCGACCGCAGCTGGTACTTGTACTGAAAGCGCTCGTTGCAGTTCTGGGGGGCGGGGGGGGGAGAGGCAAGGAGGTGGGCCGCAGCAAGAGGCCCCAGGCCCATCCTTTCACCTCCACCTGCAGCCCTGCTCTCTCCATCTCTGATCCCCCTGCCCGGACTGCTCCTCTGCCTCTCCTGGCTCCAGCCCATGCAGAGTCCCCATCCTGAATGTGCTGTGGGGCAGGAGTTAGGGGCAGGACGGGGGGGCGGGGGAAAGACACCAGAGGTGGCCTCACTTCCTGGCTCCTGCAACTCTAGCCAGGTGGGCTGTGGGTCTCACCTCACATCGGAAGGGCTTCTCCCCGGAGTGCTGCAGGGAGTGCACCTTGAGGGACATGCTGCGCTTGAAGGACTTCCCGCAGGTCTCACAGGTGAAGGGCATGTCCTTGGTGTGCGCTATGGGGTAGGCACCGGCTGTCACGTCTGGGGCACCTGTCTGAGTACCTCCACAGGGCCCAGGCCCCACCTTCCCAGGCAGCTCTGTGCCACCACCCTGGTCTGGGAGCTCAATGTGGTGTCGGCTCCAAGGGCAGATAGCACATTAAGGGCCCCATCCTTGGGCCAAAACAGCAGTCCGGAGGAAGCCAGCTGCGCACCAGGACCCATGGACAGGGAGGACCAACAGACACTTAAAGTTTGGGAGGAGGTGACTGGAGACAGAAGACCCCACCCCCAGCTCAGAGATAACGAAGCCTGGTTACCCAGCATGCTTCTGGCTAAGATCTAGACTTCAGGGTCCCAAACCAGTCAGTTCACACTGGAGGGCCCCAGGCACTGTCCAGTGGAGAAAGGAAGTAGGGCCTGGCCAGGGACCCATTGGCCACCTTGGCCACCCCTCCCTCTGGCCCAGGGTTCAGACTGTGCAAGGAAGGAAGGGCCACAAAACACCAGCTACCCAGCCAGGCCCACCTAGAGGGTGGGCAGCCTTGCCCGAGGCAGTGGGATGGCCAACACACACTTGGGGGGCCTCCTTACTGTGTCCAGGTGTGACCCCTGGGGGAGGCTGCATTCAGAGAAGCCTGAAGCCCTGTGAGGGCCAGAAGGTGAGAAAGAATCAGAGGCACAGCTGCTATCAAACCAAGACAGGGCCTGTGCCAGCCCATATGGCACTTAGTATAATTTAGGAAAAGGTGTTCCTTTCCTTGGGTGGACATAACCCCATGCCAGGACCCACAGCCTGGTTGGCAGTGTATCAGCTGCTGCCATCCTGTCTAGGTACCCTGATGCAGTGCACAACCTGCCCAACTGTACCTGATAGCCCTGGTCCCAGAGACCATCCTGGTCACAATTGTCTCCCCAGGCCTCCCAGCTGAGAGGGGCCTTCTCACCCCTTCACATTGCCCATGGATGTGGTGTCTTCCCATCCACCTGGATGCAAAGTCCTCCGGGTACAGCCAGCAGCCGATCCCGTTCTGACAGCACCCCCAGTGGCCCAGACTTACCAACCATATGCTTGCGTACATGGGCCATGGTGTAGAATTTCTTCTCACAGATCTCGCATGAGAACTTCTTCTCTGCGTAGCCATGCACGATCTTGTTGTGCTCGTGAAGGGACCAGAGCTTCTTGAAAGCTTTGCCACATGTTACACACTGTAGGGTGAGAGGACCTCAGGCCTTGGGTTCTGGGGACCTTGGACAAGCCTTGACCCCTCTCTGGCCTATTACCCCAGCTAAAGTGTGCTGGAGAGAGGGCTTTTCATGTCCCGTGACCAAGCTGACCTCATATTCCTAGGACAGGGAATGACGACTCCCTACGCAGCCACCCACACTGACCCAGGCCCTGCTTGGGTCACCTCTTCCACGTAGCCCCTTTGTGCTCATTCATAGGGCCTTTCCCAGGCCCGCTTCTCTACAAAGGGAAATGAACAATTAGTTGAGGGGTACTGTGTCAGGTGTGGCAACTGCACACACAGCTCCCAGGGTTCTCACAGAGCTGGGGTGTTATCATGGCTGCCTCCCCTGCCAGGCCTGTGTGCGGACACCAGAGACCCCCAAGGGAATGAGCCCTAAAGGCTGGCTAGGGAGGGCTGAAGGAGGTACTAGGTCCCCACAGGCACTGGAGGGCAGTGGCTGACCTTGGGGACCATTCTCCCCTCTCCCTGTTCTCCTGGACCCTTGTGCAGGGCTCTCCAGAGGGCTGGAGGCCAGGCTAGGGCTCAGGCAGGGACTGGCTCAGGATGCCCACGTGGGAGTGCACTCAAGCTTCTCCTCCTAGGGAGGCTTGGTGTGCAGCAGGTAGAGTCAGAGAGCAGCCCAGGGGCAGGCAAGTGGGAACAGGTGCACAAGGGTGGGGCAGGTTCCCGGTAACTCCCAGGTTACACTTTCTCCACCGGGTGCTGCAATTAGCAATTAGTGCAGGTAATTAGCACCCACCCACCTACCTCCCTCCTTCTCTCTCCCCCTTCTCCAGGGCCAGAAAAGGTAAAAGCCACCTGGGGGAGCCTGGGTGGCCCCGTGCTGCTCTCCACCCTGAGAGGCTAGGCTGGTACAAACTCAGCTGGCTCAAGGCCTGACAGCCAGCCCAGGTCTCCAGCAGACCCTGCTCATCCTCAATTTCTCATCCAGTCCCTTTTCATCAGGCCCAGGCTAGATGGCATCTCCCAATAGCTGAATGCAGAGTCTGCCCCTGCTCTACACAGTGCCTCTGTGAGAAGTGGAAAGTGGCACTCCCACTGGGCAGATCCCCTCCCCCTATGCAGTGTACAACCTGTGAAACTGTACAGGATGGCTCTGCTGGCCTTCCTGCAGCCCTAGGGATTTATCAAAATGCCAAGTGACTCATTCCTCCCCAGAGCTGCTATGCCCTGGTCTCATGTGTTCAGACAACCCTCCACTGTCATCCTGTGTCCATGTTGCCCCTTGCCCTCTGGCCAAGGGTATTGTCTGCTCCGGTCCTCTGTGCATAGCTCTCCACATGCCAAAGCCCAGCTCTATCTGTCTCTCTTAGGGATCTCTCACCACCTGGAAAGCCTGGGCCCTGCCTGGAGGCTAAGTGTGATCTCCCAGGCCACCTGGTTGGTGTGGGAGTCTGCCCTGAGGCCCACCTGGATGTTGCGCTCACAGTCTGTCTGCCGGTGCAGCAGCAGCTCACTCTCCAGCAGGAAGCGCTTGCCGCACTGGTCGCAGATCTGCATGCGGCTGTGGGTCACATTCATGTGCTTCTCCAGGTACCAGCGGTTGTTGAAGACTCGAGGGCACTTCTGGCATGGGTGGTGCTGCTTCTCCTCCAGCTTCACCTTGGCTCCCAGCCCATCAGGAGCTGGTGGCCCACGAGCTGGTGCAGGGGCCCCTCCAGGAGGCTTCGGCCGCTTCCCACCCCGCCGCCCGGCCTCCTCTGGCTCAGGGGTGCCCTGGCGCCGTGCATTTTCCCGGGACCGCGTGGCCATCCGACTGTGGGGTGCGGGGTCTGCCCGGGTGCCCTGGCGCCCCCCACCCTGCCTGCCTGCAACCTCCCCCTCCTCGTCTGAGCTCTCTGGGTCCTGCTCACTGTGCCCCTCGTCCTCCTCCTCTTCTTCCTCCTCCTGCTCGCTGTGTTCTTCCTCCTCCTCATCTTCCTCTTCTCCCCGACTGCCACCCTCCTCGTCTTCCTCCTCCTCTTCCCCTCCTCCACTACCTCCACCTTCTTCCTCCTCTTCCTCCTCCTCGTCCTCCTCATCCTCCTCCTCCGAGTGTTGCTGTAGCCCATCCTCTTGGCCCAGCACCATGGTGGCTGGACTCGCTGCAACCCCTGGCTTCCCCTCGGGCCCCGTGGACACATGCAGTGTCTGGTTGTTGAGGTTCACTTCCACGATGATCTGCGATTGCTCCTGGCGACTGTAGGTACCTGGAGCCCCGAGCTCTTCCTCCAGTTCCTCCCCGCCCTCCAGCTTGCACAGGCTGCCTGGAGGACCCCCAGCCGCCTCCACCCCTCCCTCCTTCTCCTCCTTGAAGAGAGGCTGTGCTGGCCCAGTGGTGGCAGGCACTGTGTCACCAGCCGTCCCTGCCCCATCCTCCACGCGCACTGAGTAGGGATCAGGACCCTCTCGGGCATAGATCTTGGGCAGGCCCGGGGCATCGGCCTCCTGCTTGATGTCACAGTAGTAGGGTGGTGTGGCTGGGGTGCAGCTGGTAGCTGGCTGAGCCAGGGCCACAGGGCCTGGGCCTGGGGGACCGAGGGAGCGGGCATCCAGCAGCTCCTGGCAGGACGCGGCGATGTCAGCCATCTGCAGCAGCGAGGCAGCACTGAGCACCTCGTGGACGTTGGCTGCGTTGACCAACAGCTTGGATGTGTAGATGAAATTGAGGATTTGCTGCAGGCCGCTGGGCGCCAGTGCCTCCAGGGACAGCTCCACGCGCTGCAGCTGCTTGTTCTGGGTGAAGAGTGAGTGGAAGAACTGGCTATAAGCGGCCAGCACGCCCTTGTGTGCCGGGAAGACACTGCGCTGTGGCACCAACACCAGGTCCACGTCGCAGAGGTCGGGCTGGAAGAGGCGCTGTTCGTTCAGGCGGCCCATCAAGCAGGCAAAGTGCAGTGCCACGTCCTCCACCAGCGAGAACTCGGCCGCTGGAGAGTCGGTCGTCTTCTCAACCAGCAACTGTGGGGCCAAGGGCATGGGAGTGGTCAAGGCCAGTGGGTCGCTGCCCAGTCCCAGCAGCCCACCCAGTGCTACCATCCAGGAGACTGCCCATGATTTCTGGATCCATCTGGCAAGGAAGTGAGAGGCAAGACTCAAGCTCCTCTTGAATCAGTCACCCCTTTAGGGCTCAGACTCCCACTGTGACCTGGGGCTGATGGTCAGTTCTAGGTCAGTCCACTTTCCTGGGCTTCTCCACAGTTCTTCCTCTGAATGGGCAGTCATCCCAGGAAGGAAAGGAAAGGAAGGCAAGGGAAGGAAAGGGGGCTATGGTGACCATTTGTCTGGGTCAGCCAGGGCCCTGGGGATCCTGGGGCACAGGATTTTTATTGCTGGAGCCTAAAAACCCGAGGCATACAAGATTGTGTGCCCCTGCTCACTGTGGTCTCCTCTACCTCCATCCCAACCTCCAGCACGTCCATAGACTCACAAATACAAACTGGCTGGCCAATCCCCAATCCTGTCCTCCCAACAGAACAACAGAAGCTATATGCCGCAGGCAGTCTTGCCAGTGCAGGTGCAAGGCCCAGGCCCTGAGGGCTGCAGAAGACAAACTATCCTGCAGGAACCCAGGCCCAGGCCTGTAACTCCTCTCTGCCCTGGTCCTGCTGCCCTGCCTGAGGAGGCCAGGGAGCCCCAGCAGCTGCCTCCACCTTGCCTGGGTTCTTGGGCCTGCTCCAACAACTCCCCTGCACACAGAGGTTCTCTGGGGCCAGAGGGACACAGCTGGGTTACCTGTCCACCTACTTGTAGGCAGGAGATCCCAAAGACCTGTTTTTTCCCTCTAGGAATCCAGGCTCTAGTCAGATATGGTCCAGGCCCAGAGGCTCAAGGATGGACCTATCTTGGAAGTCACACCTTCTGGGGAGCCCTGGGGGGTCCCAAAAGGCAATAAGTCAGACCATCAGGCCAGTAGGTCACATCCAGCACCTGTGAATGGCCCAGAACAGGGGCCTACTCATCCCACCTGGCCCCATCACAATGGACTCCCAAAAGATGCTTGGTACAGACAGGCTGCCTGTCCAGTGCCTTGCACAGGGTCCAGTGCACAACAGACACTCAACTGTATCTGCCTGGCTGGACCAACCCTATGCATTCTCCTCAGGCCCTGCCTAGGTGGGTCAGAGCCTCCCAGGTTGGAGTGGTCCCTTGCCTCATGGCCACAGACCCAGTATCTCAAAGACCAGGGATGAGCCCACCCTGGTGATCCACAGCCCAGCCTGCCCCCATGCCAGTCCTTCCTTCACCTGGCAGCAGTGTGGGGCCAGACTGGTGGAATCTAGGCTCAATTACTCAGTCACCTAAGTAAGAAACCACCTTGGGCCTCCAGTGAGCCTCAATGAACCACCAGCAGGCACCTGCTCCCAGGTCTGCCCTGGACTCTGTCCTCCACAGACAGCACCCCACCACAGCACCCACCCTGTGTGTTCTCAGATCCCAATCTGGCCAGGCCCCCGACTGTGGCAATCATGTTCCATGAGTCTCCCACCACACCTGCCCCCTAGCCAAGAGCCACCCATTTTATAGCTGTCCCAGAGCTGTTGGCCGGTCCAGGTCTGGCCAGTATAACTGGGACGTGGCACCAAGCCCCGCCCATCTCCCTCCTCTGACTCACTCTGATTCATCCTGGGACAACCCCTACTGCACTGATGGGGAAACTGAGGCTCACAGTCCACAGTCCTGGCCTCCCTCCTCTGCTAAGGCCACCCTTTCCTTGCTGGACTGGACACTACTCCATGTAGTCAGAACCCTCCCAGCCAGTGCCCAGCTGTGCTTCCTGACCCAGCCCCTACTCCTCTACTGCTGCTGCCTCCTCCCCAGGCATGATGCTTGCAGGTTGGTGAAGGGTCAGAGTACAACTCAGGCTGTAAAGGGGGCTCCTTGAGGCCTCCAGGGGCCAGACAGGGGCAGAGAGAGTGCCCTGCAGAAGGACTTGCCAAAGCCAGGCCTGTTGGGGATGGCCTGCCCCAGACTGCAGGGCCCTAACCCCCCCATCTACTCTCCCTTTATAGAATGCATAGGGAAAGGGCAATGGTCCACAAGCCCTCTGGCCCAGCCCTCTGGCCTTGCAGGGAAGAGTGCAGTGATGCCCTGAAGCCACCATTCCCAAGGCAGTCCCCCAGCCGCAGGCACCATCCTGGGCAGTCACTGGCTGAGTGCAGAGTAGCAAGGCACAGCTGCTCCCCAGTCTGGCCCCTCCCATGCAGTGCCCACCAGCTGTGCTGGCCTCCCCAACCAGATGTGCCAGTTCCCTGAAGCTGGGGATGCCCCTTCTCATCTGGTTGTGCCACCTGCAGCCACACACCCGGCTTTCAGATCCAGGCCACCCCAGTCTAGCTAAGATGCAGGCCGAGTGGGCAGTCAGACACCCCCATTTCCAGAGGTTTCATGCCCTCAAACGGTCACTCCAGAGTCAGGATAAACACCTGCTGAAGCCAGAGCTTTCTGTACCTGAGGGATACCTGCCTCGCTGCGAGGAAGGCCCCTTGCAAAACTCCTGCATCCAACCCCCATGCCAACCCTTTCATTCCTGGGCAGCAGTGAGTGAGCCCAGGTAGAGCAAGGGGCACTGGCTCACGACCGCTAGGCTCTTCCTTTCGGAAACGGTTGTCTGTGACAGGCTCCTCTGCCCCTACCTCAGGGTCTATTTCCCAGAGAAGGACAGGACCGGCCCAAGGTCACACGGGAGTTTGGACCCAAGCTATGGGCGCCCCCTGCTCTTGGCCCAAGCCACCCCAATCACTAGGCAGGGCGGCTCCAGCGCCCACGTGGCCCAAGGCCCGGGCGGGAATCCGACTCCCCCCTTCCCCCATCACCCAGCTGGAGGGCGGCGCCGTCCCAGGCGCAGGGAAGCGTCCACCCCCCCGCCCCCCAGCCGGTGCCTAGCAAGACCTCAGGCTCTCGCGCCCGCGCCCCCACCCCAGGAATTTAACTCCCTCCCCCCAGATCCGCGCCGTAGCGCCGCATTCCCGGCCCGCGGGGACCCGGCAGATGGAGTCGGGGACACCGGGGGAGGGGCAAGATCTCTCAGCTCCTCCACCCGGGCCCGCTGGGCCGTGCGCTTGGGAAGGCAGCGCTAGCAGGTGGGCGGATAAGCGGGAGGACAGGCAGGGCCCTGCGTACCATGGTGCCGTGGCGCTGGGGGCTCACAGGGCCCCGCGGGATCGCGCTGCCCCCGGCGGCCGGGCCGGGGCCGCTCCATGAAGCGCCGCGCTGGGGGCCGCCCCCGCGCAGGGCCCAGCGACCATGGCCCCCGGGGGCGCGGCCGGGCGGGCGGAGGCGCAGGGCCGCGGCGAGTCCAGCGCCGAGCAGCTGCGGCCCCAGAGCCTCGGGCGCGGCGGGCGGGGGGCGCGGGGCGCCGATTGGAGCCCGCGCGTCAGCTGGGGCCGCCGTCTGGACGCTTAAAGGGCCAGGCCGCCCTGCGCGCCGGCGGGGGGCGCGGACACGCGTGGTGCGCGGCGTCCCCGCGCAGTCCGCCCTGCCCCGGGCCTTCCGGCCCACCCCGGCCAGGCACCGCGACTTGCATTAGGGCGGGTGGGCTCCCGACCCCACCCTCCCGCGCGGATCCCACTTTTTGCTGGGAAGTTCGTCCCGGAGTCTAACCTCCGTGCCCTTCCGCTGCACCCCGGAGGCGGGGTCAGGGTTGGAGGCTACAGTGAATCGGAAAGCTGGGCGTTGCTGGGCCCCCAACCCACTGCTGAAAAGACTTCCTTCCACCTGCTCTCCTGCGCCAGCCTACGCTGAGGGACTGAATCCCGCACCCCAGCGGCACTCACCACCCGCAGCCTGTGGCCTGAGCTGCTCCGAGTTGGGGGTGAGTCGGAGGTCCACAACCGCTCCGGCCTCCCACTGGGGTAACCCGGTGCGAGTCTGTGCCTCCGGGACGTCAGCCCGTACCTACCTTGCAGCCTCTGGCTGCACGGAGATTTCCAGAGCAGATTTAAAACCCGAACCGCCGCTGCTCTGAGCAAAGCCTTTAAGAACAATGGCCAGAGACCAGGAGATGGAGGTACCAGAGGGGTGGGGGCCAGAGGCCCAGGCCCCACTGCCCGCAGCCGTGTGACCTAGCGACTGCCGAGTGGCCTCTCTGCTCAGCCTCTGCTGGGGAGATGCAGCCAGGCTTGCGGAATGCTGCTCTGGCACGGGCCCCCGTGGGGGCAGGGGGTGGCTGCGCTGGCAGCAGGCTGCAAAGGAAAGCTGCCAGGCTGAGCAGGCAGCAGGATGGGGACCATGGGCCCCCCGGCTAGCAGGGTCCAGGTGGTGAGTGGGCTACTAGTGTGGAGAGGCCTCTGTGACCTCTCTTGTGACCCTACCCCTAGCTGACTGCTGCCCCGGGCTGGGTCACTCTAACCACACTACCCCCCCCACCACCACCACATGTGTATCTGGGATCACATTCAAGACCATTTTGGGCAGGGGCCTTGGGCCTTGCTTAGGATGGCTTGTTCTGGATGTCATGGAAGGAACTGGAGCAGAGGCCCTGGTTCTTGCTAGGCAGGTTCGAAGTCCCGAAACAGCCTGATGGTGTGTCCAGTAAGACTGCAAGGGCCTCCCATGAAGCCAGAATAGGGAGGCCCTCAAGACAGAGCTATCCCAGAACCAGGTGCCAGGGGCAAAATTGAGGTGAAGAGTGCCCAGGGTAAGAGGAGTCATACACATAACCAGGTGGAGGCTAGGAGACACTGGTGGAAAGAGGTAACAGGAAAGTGCCCAGGCTGGGGCAGCTCTACAGCTATCCTGTGTGTGTATGGTTGCACAGACATCTGACTTTGCTCCCAGTGGTCCCAGGCCAAAGCTGGACCAGAGCAGCCTACAGGCTTCTGACCAGCCAGTCACCTCAGGGCTGCCTCCTGTCACTCCCTCCCAGCCCACTTCCTCATCTGACTCAAGGTGTGTCCTTATATTGTACCTGGGAGGTGGCAAGGGAGGGACTGTGTACCCATTGGTTGGAGGAGGATACTGAGGCCCAGAGTGAGATAAATCATGTAGATGACATGGTTGTCAGGAGTCAGAGAAGGCAGGCTGGGAGAAAGCAGCCTCCCTATGGGCTGGCAAGAGTCAGACAGAGGACTTCATGGTGCTTCTTGGCCCACTTCCCAGCCAAAGCTCTGCAGAGGGTGTGGCTTGGGTGATCCACAGAGGGATGCTGGCCCCTTTGGGAATGGCCTTGGCTAGGACAGTCAGAAGAGGGGCTGGAGTTTGGTGAGAAGGGAGGGAAGAGATGGGGTGGGCTGCCCCCTTTTTACTTTCTGACCTGAAGCTCACCTGCTGGGGAGCCCCAGAGCACAGCCTGAGCTCTGTGAGGCTGAGGGCACCTGGTTACACTTCACCTGTCACCACAGAGCAGTTTGAGAGCTGTCTGGTGGGTCCTAAGGGGCCTGCTTGCAGCTGAGGCTTGACCGTTGACATTAACTAGAGCAGAGGGAGGAAGGGTGCAGGGACAGGAAGTGACAGTGTAGAGGTGTCCATCGGGAGTGTGTGGTTGGTGGGAGTGCCTTGACGGAGCCAGGTGCTTCACTCCTGGTGGGGAGAATGGTCCAAGGCTACAGCTACATGCCCAGGGTGAGTCAGGAGTCTATGGGGACCTCACCTAGAGAGGACAGAGCCCAGTAACCCATCACACATTTGGGGCTTCCTGCTGGCAGTCAGCAAACGCAGGTTCCTGCCTCTAGGGAACAGCTAAGGGCTCTGCTCTTGACTTCCCAAGCTTCTCTCTAGACAATCAGGATGAGACTTAGCCAAAAACTGGGCCTGAGGCATCCCCAGGCTTGGTTGGGGAACTAGATTTACCCCCAGAACCTGGAAGGAACAGACAGCCCAGGATGTACATGCAGGGCTCGGCCTCCATTGGGCCAGAGTTGTGTAGCAGAGCTGAGGGAGGAGATAGGGCAGAGTGAGCAGTGCCAGCAAACACAGGGCCACTCAACTCACACAGCATGGAGCCAATGGGTGGCAGAGAAGTTCAAAGGTGCCCAATTAGGAGCTGGCTCAGGGCCCTACAGGGTTGGGGAGCATGGCTCTGCTGGGTGGGGGGTTGTGCCTGGGTTCTGGCTCCACTGAGCCCAGTGCTAATAGGCTACAGCTGCCCAAGGGTGGGGGCCTAATGCAAACCAGAAGGTTGTCTGGTTCCCTCTTGAAGCATAAACATCATGAACTTGGCATTGGAGCTTCCCTGGCAGCTTCTAGGATGCCCTGTTGGTTCGAGACCCTGGCCTCTGGCAAGTGATAAAGTTGGGCCCTCCACAGGAACCTGTAGGACCCCATTCCTCCTAAAGGCAAGGCCCACCCACCAGCCGGGAGCTGCTTTGGTGTGTTCTTGGTTCTAGGAGGGAGGAGGCCCTCGCAGCCATTTTCCAGATAAGGGGTTGAATTGCAGAGGTGAAGCAAGTTTAGAACTTGAACCCAGGCCATGTGGGTACAGCCCAGTGTCCTAAAGGAATGTGCCATAGAACAGTACCTCGCAGAGGTCTTTTTTTCTTCAAAATCAAATCAAATTAGGTCATGAGGTCAATGGGGGTTCTTCCAGACTTTCTGGAAGTCTGGCCTGATGGTAGATTTTGAGTGCAGGAGGCCCTGGGTGGTCCAGGCTGATCTGGAAAAGAATGAGTACCTTCAGATATCTACCCTTGCACTGGTTACACACACACTCTCAGGCCTCTTGAACTGGGAGAAGGGCAGTCTAAGGACCCTGACCTCCTATCAGATGGGCAGCCGGAGGCCCAAAGGCAGGGCAGGGCTGAAGATGCAGAATGTAGAAGTTTGTCCTGAGACCTCAGGCCACTACTTTCTGCCTGGTTAAGGAGAGATGGTGCCCCCAGTGTAGCTTGGCTTCTTCCTGCAGAACTGGAGTTTAGAGCTTGATGGGCCTGGGGTCTCCAAGAAGCAGAAGTACTTCTTCCTGGCTCCAAACTTGACACAACCCCACTGGGGGCCTGCTGAGTCACTGGGAAGGGGAGGCCACAGTGAGGGAACACTGCTGCTACCTGTGCCAAAATCCCCAGAGAAAGCAGGACATTAAAGTCCCTGCCTGTGTGTGGCCACAGTAGGCTCTCCTTACCTCACATGTACTAGAACTAGGAACTGACCAGAGCCTTCCAGGCAGCCTTGAGAAGGGATTTTTTCAGGTTATTCAGCAACTCCTCTGATACCTCTGGCCTCCAGTGGGGTCTGCAGCTGTCACAGCATCAAAGAACTCCTGCCCAGCCAAGGTCTTTCCAGCACTCAAGTCCCTGTGACGGCGGGCTCTCACCCTCACTGTGGGCAGCAGCAGCATTCATCCCCTCCACCAGAACCAGTGTCTTTGGAAATCTGAGTCCAGTCCCTTCAACTATGAGGCAAGGCTTCCAAACACTCCTTCAGGGCTGAACACTCTCTTCTGGGCTTCTAATATGAGCCAAACCTTTCTCTTCCTGAAATGCCCACTCAGTGTTCTGTCTCCTAAGAGAAGCATATTCTTTCATTTCTTTATCTGCTGTCAATGCCTAGCTAATTCAGAAGTTGAGATAAAAGCCCTTGCAAGCCCCCACCCCAAAATACTGCCCAACTGATGAAGCTTATCACTATCAGAATGTGAATAAAGATCTTAGAACTTGCCAAAAATTAAGTCCATGAGTACTTGCTGAAGAGATTTTCCAGCAAATGGTCTCTGGCATTTTCTTTTCATTTTAAAGCATGCCACCCAGATTTGACAATTTTTAGTTGACCAACTTTAGGAAAACTCAGTATCGGTAAGTTATGTTGGATTCACTAAGAAAACATACATTCCTTTGAGCTCGAGGAGAAAAAAGCAAACTGTACTTGCCTGGCAGTTCTCATGTGTATGCTAAAAATACCCCAATGAAACCATTTCTAGAGGTGAGTGATATGTGCCACACTCCTTGGTAAACAGCAGGTGGGCAGGGCAAGGTGGAGGCTGTAGGCACATGGACTGTCCCCAGGCAGCAACTCATAGAAAAGATGTGGCATGCTCCCTCCTCAGCAAACGTCTGTGCTGTCTGGATGACAGCAAAACCTGGAGGTTTTGAACTGGTACATCATAGCACACCCTGTGGGTAATCTCTACCAGGTCCTCTCCCTAACTCCACCTCCTGCTCATCCATTAAGAAAATAAGCTGTGAAGAGAGACAGTCTCTTCACTGGCTAGGGCAGCAGAGAGACTCCATGTTTGCTTTTCCTATTTCAGAACGACTGCTTCAAGTCCAGGTAAGCAAAGAAAGATGAAACATGCACAGACGCAGACTTAGACTAAGCACATATTTTAATTTCTACAAGGTCCCCCTTTCAAGTTTTAGGAAAATTTAGCTGAAGCGGATACAAATTAGACATCACTAGTATGTACAAAAGTATTTTCTACATTTTTTGAATATCAGCTATTTCGGTTGCAGTAAACAGGACGTTATGAAACAATCCAATAATGCATTTTCTATTAAGCATGTTACACAACATAATTCACTTTTATTAAAAAATAACTTCAAAACCCAGAACAATCCCCTTTAGGAAGAAAAACTTTTTCTGTAGTTCACGTTAGTAAACATAAGTTGAACACTGCAGAAGAGGGCCATTTTTTTTCTGTGTAGAAAACATGTGAGGCTTCTACAGCCTCCCTTTTCAGGGCAAAATTCCACCCACAGCTGAGATGAGCAAAGTTACTGCCTGGGGTAGTCAGAATTCTACAATGTCACTTCCCCCTCCACGTGGCCCTCTGCCCCTTGCAACTTGCAAAAACGATGAGCTAACACGCCTGCACTCACTTCCATGCCCTATGCCACAACTGGCTTTAAATGAAGAGATTACTTATGGTGCTTGAGTTGGTCGCATAGACCCTAGACACAGGAGGAAGGCAGAGAGAGTTGAAGCATAGAACAGAAGGACTCAAAGGGCCAATGCTGATTTGAAGAGAGAGGGGACCATCCCAGAAGGAATCTTGCAGTGTTAAGGCTCCTTTAAAGCTCAGAGAGGCCCCCAGCTAACAGCCAGCAAGGAACTAATTCTGTCAACCACCTGAAATGAACCTGGAAGCCAAATCTTCCTCAGAGCCTTCATAAAGGAATGTTGCCCTACCAACCCTTGGCTCTTGTGAGACTCTGAGCAGAGAATCCAGCTGTACCATGTTATACCCATCGCCTGGAGAACCGTAAACCAATAAATGGGTATTGTTATAAGCTGCTAAACTTGGGGTAATTTGTTACACAGCAACGACAAACTAATACACTGCCCAAGAGTAATTTTTCTTAACCTAATTAAACTTGACAGCTTCTGAATGCATTTCCCCCCACTGACTACTGTATTAAAATGGTATTATTCTTTTGCAAGGCAACTCTTGAGAACCCTTAACATGAATCACACATTGTTTTGTAGTTACTATCAAGTACTGATTTTTGACTTGGTCCTGTTTTCTAATATACTTCTATCTGTTGACTTGGCAAATAGCTAACCTTCTCACCCTGTTTACATTCCTCCTATGGGTGATAGTTTTATTTATTTACTGGTGCTGTGGATTGAACCCAGGGGTTTGTGCTCTACCATTGAGCTGTATACCCCCAGCCCCTGAATGACAATTTTTGTTTTGTTTTGTTTTTGGTGGTACTGGGGTTTGAACTCAGGCCTTGTGCTTGTCAGGCAGGTGCTCTACCACTTGAGCCACACCCGCAGCCCTGATGTCAGTTTTAATACATGCAATGTCACCTCTTCCACCTGTCCAGGGTTGTCAGATCCCTCCAGCTGAGGGCTCTTTCCCACTTCCTAAATATACTAGACAAGGCCTGGGCAGGATGGTGCAGACTTCTACACCAAACATCCAGGATCAATTTCTTCTGCATCACTGGATCAAATTGGCACTAAGGTGATTAAGTACACTTGGGGAAGAACTCTAAAACTAAAGACTAAAAAAAAAAAAAAAAAAAAAAAAAAAATCACACTAGTTTTTACAGGTTGAATTCTTTTCAGAAGAAATACCCAAAGCCATGGAACTATGTAATGGATGCAGTACCCTGTGCCCCTCTTCCCCTGTCTCTTGTCCTGGGTTTACTCAGGTCAGGCAAGGCTTTGCTGAGTCACTTTGGATCGCAGCAGAAACAGGCAAAACATGCTGGTTAGAACAATTCCACTGCTGGTATGGTATATCCTTACTTGAATACTGAAAAAAATAAAGCTGCAAAGTCTCTGCAGGATGATGGCAGTTAAGACTGTGGAGTTACTTTTGAAGGCCATTCTTCAATCCACAGCTCCAGAAGCACGCACATGTAGTAGACCTGGGTGGTTGCCCACCCGCAATTGTCATGTCATCCTGCCTACTTCAGATCTCCAACAATCACATGGACTTGAGAAGCCCCCCAATATTCAAAGTGAAGACAGCTCAGAAGAAACCATTTTTGGTGCGAGTGAATAAAAAAAAATTCATTATTCTCTCTTACAATATTCTAACGTATTTTAAGAATAATACTTAAAGAGGTACCAAAAGGTACCAAGCACCAAAGCATGATCTGGAATAGTTTTTATAACCTAAACTTCTGATAGTCTTTATTAAAAAGCACATATAATATTAACTCCTTCGAGACAGTGCAGGTATTTTATTTAAGGCTGATTTATTCTTCTTAATTTTGCCTGCCAGCCTGAAGTAATGCAGACCATGGCAGTATAACCACTTTCCTGATCCTCTGAGACAGCAAAGAAGAAAGGTATGAATTAAGAACCCAGAGCCACTTCCCTGTGCTCCTGGCTACCAGTGGTATCAGTTCTGGGTAGTTTGTTTTAAGAACACACATGTACAAGCCTGTGACTGGCATAGAAATGTTTGGTCTCCTGTAACAGTTCTATGCTTGGCAGCATGTGTGCCAAAACCTGAAAATGGGCAAAAAAGAATCTGTATTCTAAGGAATACATGAGATGCAAGAAATAGTCTAACAATAAAATTGCAAATTATATTTACATAAATTTCCCAATTTCTTGATTCAAGAAAATGAATATTGTATAAGTTGGCTACTGTAAAATGTGGCATAAAAATATTTCTAGGACACCTATCCATATTTCAAATTCTTCTACACATACATAAATGCATGAGTGACACTTAAGACACCTTGAAACTCATTTCTAATACTGAAATAGAACAACAGGCTGCCATTAAGTTTCTTAAACTTTTAAGTTACCAGATATTTACAATTGTCATATAATTTGTATCCAAAAAAAAGGCCATGTTCAACTATATCTGCTGCTTTCACTGGGGCTCCGGTGATGAGAGTAACTCCGGTCACTTTCACTGTCAGAGCCATAAGACCTACAACTCCTGTGTAACAGAACAAAACAAAATGTAAACAAAAGCCTTTTAACTACCCATTCTTTGGGGTTCTGACTATGGCAGTACTATGAACTTCTAAAGGATGTTTTGAATGACAAATGGTAGCAATACCCAGATTAGATAGAATAAAGAAAACTTACATCTTGGGAAATTTACCTGAAATTCATGCATGTAAATGAGCACAATGATTTTTCAAATTACCCAAAATGAGTATCAATATTTGATTAGATTACTTATGGAAGGGGAAAGGTATGGACGCCAACATGGGGGTCCAGTGAAGGGTGGGAATGGGTCTGCACATGAGTAAGACTCTGGGCTACTGAGTCAAAGGACCTAGTTATGGTCACCATTCAGTTAGTTTAAAAAATATTCACTGAGCCACTCATATGGTAGGCTCCCTCCAGCCCAAAAAAGTAGACAAAGTATAGTTCCCTAGCTCCCAAAGAGAATACACTTTATAGTGGACAAGATGATTAAGTCAGGGGCAGTAAGAACCCCCGGGGGAGCAAAGGCTGCTTGAGACACACCAGAGAGGCTATGTGTGTTAGGACCAGCAGTCAGGAAGGGCTTCCTGGGGCACGTGCAGGGAAAGTGGGGACTGGTCATTTCAAGAGGCAAAAAGGGAGATGGGACTTTTGTCAAGGCCAAGGAAGGAAAGGTTCCAGAACATTCAAGGAGGGAAGTCAGAAAAAGTCTGAGTTTGAGTTGCTAAGTGCAGGGAACTTGCATGCAGTGCTGAGGAGCCTGGACCTGACTGTGAAGAGAGTCCCTGAACAGTTTCCTGCAAGACAGTGTCCAGATCACACTGGTACTGTGTAAGGATCATTGTAGTTGCAATGGATGGGGGAGGGTTAAGACTGAAACCCTTTAGAAAGGGACAATAAAAAAAAGTCAAAATAAAGACTTTTGCAGTATATAAAACATGTCATGTAATATAATATGTAATACATACAAATATGCATATATAATACATATAAAACAATATGCAGTACAAAAATGTATTTAGTATATTTAGTTAGTTAAGTAAAATAATGGACAAGATATAAACCTCAATCCTGTTGCTGAAGCAAATGACTATGACAAATTGGCTATTCTGGCAAGTAGCCTTACTTAAGGAAGCAGACCGTGGTTTGGGTGGCCTTTTCTGTTTACTCCATCAAGAAATGTTTGTCTTATCATACACGAATATTTAAAAACTTACTTTTGATCCCATCATGAACAATGAACAACAAATACTACCTGGCCACCCTTACTACCAAGGCCACTTTTAGTAGCTCCATGTGGGTGGCTGAAATTCAAGAAGACAAAGGAGCACTCAGTCACCAGAAGGTTATACTTTCTCTCCCACTAGCAGTCCATCACCTCACATACACACCAAGTGCCCTAACAGAGGGACCCACCTGGACCGCCTGTTGTAGCTTCTACCTCGGTGGTAACTGTCACTCCTCTGACTCCGGCTTCGACTCCGACTCCTGCTGTAGTAGCTATCGTAAGTGTAGGACCTGCTCAAGCAACAATGACATACAATAAATTTTCCCATTCAAATACTCAAAGACTCCCTTTCTTTTTAAGACCATAACACCTTAGAACATGGGCACTATGACAGTATGAGGACACAGTTACATAAAGAGTACTGAAAACATTTAGCAATCACCCGAATCTGACTTAACATTATTAGAAAGAAAAATGTTAATTTCTTTGCTGCATTGAAAAATATCACAAATTTAACACTGAGTTAGTTTGACTGAATCTAGTAGATCTTATTAGGCAATTGTATTCAACAAGCACCTGCCACTATAATTTGACATTAACTGTCATTTTTGACACTGGAGTACAATGGGCCAACAGATAAAAGTTGTCAAAAAGACCTCATTTAAAAAGTGTGTGATTTCAGGAGGCAAATATATGCATTTAACTTATCCAATAGAAAATACACTTTAGGCTAGGGGTGTAGCTCAGTGGTAGAGCACATACTTAGCATGAATGAGGCCCTGGGTTCAATTCCCAGTTCCAAAACAAACAAAAAACCCCAACTCTGCAGCATTTTGAACTAAGAACTTATAAAGCAAAGCCTTTCAGGGCTGCCCCTATGGTGATTCCCCAGCCCTGCCCCTACCTGGACCGACTGTGGGGATCAGATGAACTGCTTCCGGATCTGCTCCTGCTGGACGTCCTAGTGTGAATCATAGGAAGCACATCATCTTGTGTGTTCAGCCAGGACAGGCTACATTAAATATCTATACCTTTATTGCCCATCAAAGTAAAAATATAGTGAACTCTCTTAACTGTATTACTTTATTTTCATATCAATAATACACTGGATTTTTAAAAAATCCCACTGGACTTAAGATTAAATTTTATGCAGTCAGTGGGGAGGTTCCATACTGGGTGGGGAGGGAAAGGGCCACAGAGGTAGGACACTGCTAAGTCAAGAGAAGCAGCAGCAGTGGAAAATGTCTCCAAGGTCAAGGGGAACTAGAGATGTGCCCCAAAATCCATCAGCACACACTTCTTTCTCCTGGTCTCCTCGCTATAATCCTCCTGTCCCAATCTAACCAGAGTCAAGAGGTGATTGCACCTGTGAACTGCAGTTAAGAAAGATATGTTTTGGGGAGGTAGAGAGAGTGGTCAGAGCCTCTCTTGTACTATAGTTTCTCTTTTCTCATTGATAAGATCCCAAAGAATTCTATCACTGACCAAGATGAGAAAACAGGTCAGTCTGGTATTCAGCAATGGCAGGGTTCTTCCCAACAGCCACCCACCCTGCCTATGTAGACATGATGGAGATCACACTGCAGGGCGAGACCACAGGCTTACCTGTGACTTTTGTAACTGCGGTATGAACTGCTCTGACTGCGGGTTCGGCCTCTGCTGTACCATCCTCTGCTTCGGCTTCTAGAATAGCTTCTTGATCTACAATTAAAGTAAGTGAAAAAACATACAATTATGTTAACTCACCATACTGTTAAAATTAATTACAGGTAGGGCAAGAAGGGGAAACACAGCAAGAGGAAAGAAAGGTCTCTCACAAACTCTGCACAGTGGACACTCACAGTGAGGTTGCTAATGAGGCAATCCAGAAACAACCACAGTTTAAATCAAACAGAATGAAATTAAGAAAACTATTTAAAGCTGGGCACCACTGGTGGCTCATGCCTATAATCCTAGCTATTCAGGAGGCAGAGATCAGGAGGATCGAAGTTCAAAGCCAGCTGAGGCAAACAGTTTGCCCAGCTATCTTAAAAAAAAACCCTTCACAAAAAAGGTCTGGTGGAGTGGCTCAAGGTATAGGCCCTGAGTTCAAACTCCAGTACTGCAAAAAACAAAACAAAAACTATTAAAGATGGGTAGAGGTTATGTCCGCATATTCATGATTTCAGTAATTTTAATGAGCTTTCATTTCTTCAACCAAAACTTACAGAGCCAGATCCTGTGGGGGACTAAAAAATGAGTAAGACACAGCCACTACCTTGAAGGAGGGCATAGCTTAGTGTGTGGGAGTCAGGACCAGGTGGCGAACGAGGAAGGGAAACAGGGCAGTGCCCAGGCTTAGTCAGTGCAGTCTATTACCTATCAGCTGCACAGCCTAGAGCAAATTTCTTAGCCTTTCTATGTCTCACTGTCTCCATTTATAAAATGAAATACCATCTATTCCAAAGGCAGAGGTAGGAAGACATATGAGGAGAGTAGTTAGCATCACCAATAGTTCAGAGCTGTCTGAGTTTAAATGGCAAGGCCCATCAATCTCGAGCAGACAGGAAGCTGGAGTCACTCAACAGGCAACTCATCAAGCAATAGGAACCCAGAGAGAAAAGGCCAGGATTCAGCAGCTCTCTGGGCCTAATGGAAGTCAGGGCAGGAGGAAGAAGGGAGAGCCTACAACACAAAGATGAAATAAACGGTCTGAGAGAGATAAGACAAACTAGCAGAGATCTTCTGAAAAGTGGGAACGGAAAACATGTCCTGACACTGGCCATGCAGCCATGCAGAAGTACCTGAAAACCTCAGTCTATGAGATGGGGGGAGAAGAAGGACTAAAACAGAGGCAGTTTTGATAAGGATTTGTAAAGGAAGAAAAAGACTGATGGATAAGAAAAGAAAGGAAAAAATGATCAAGATTCATACTGTATTTTAAGTTCAAATGATGAAAATCAAGCACAATATTGTAATAGGGAATGTGAGTAATTTAGATAAGGTAAAACCGCGAAACATAAAATAATGAAAAGAAAGCAACATATATACTATTTATTTACTTCATGTAATTGTGATCAAAATTTTTTTTAGCTTTTAATTTTCATTTTTTGCACTATTCAATCTATACTGCTGACAAAAGTTAGATGGGACTTGACGACAAAAGTCTACAGTTAATCATTCTTACTGTTCTCCCCCCAACCTCCTCCTTCACCAGTAAAGATCTACTATAGCCATGTCTTGAGCAGGCAGCTTTACCTCTCTGGCACTTACCTTCCAACTGTGTAAAATGAAAGTTAGATTAATGATCTCTAAATCCTACAGATTCTGTTCAAATGGCTTTCTTCAAAGGCATCAGAAATGACTGGTGTGGGCAAGAAAGTAGCCTCTCATACCTTTGAAGATAGAGAACTCGGGCTGGAGGTGAGCTCAAGTAGTAGAGTGCCTGCCTAGAAAGTGCAAAGCCCTGAGTTCAAACCGCAGTACCACACCCACACACATACACAAAACCTCACTGCTTACGGCTTCTCATGGTGGTTTATGCTAGAAAGCTTTCATTGCTAGACTGATCAAACTATTGATGGCAATAGTAATCTCATCCCTGACTCTGATGTTCTTAGAAGTAAAATAAATAGCAGACCCTCCTTGGGAGAAAAAAAAAGAGAAAGAAAATATTGCTTACCGATAAGAAGATGTGGAACTTCTAGATCGACTTCTTGAGCGACTATAGGAGACAGACCTTGTTCTGTGTCGTGACTTGGTTTCAGATTTACTTCGAGATCTACTTGGACTCCTGGACTGGCTATCACCATCCCGACTGGGCGTGTGCTCATCACTTGAGCTCTCCTGATTTCTTGGCCTCCGGTTTAGGCGTGCTGTCTTTCTCACTTCATCAAAGAGAGACCCTGGCCGAACCTTATTTTTGCTTTTGATTTCTATTCTCAAGCCTTGTGGTTTCATTTCAGGCATAGCAGTCAATGCCTTCCCTTCCACAGCACCGGACATGGTAGCAGATGCTGTTAGATTCCCCACACCTTGCAGCGGTTTCCACTTATTATCTGGAAGGTTGAGCTGGCTCTTCTCAACCACCTCCTTCTTCCCAGTACTTTCTGCAGCACTGGGCAAGCTGGCAGAGCTACTCTCCTGTTTCCCTACTTCCTCTATCGTTTTGCTGCTTTCAGACACGCTGCTTTCTGGTTTTACTCCCTCTGCTTCAGAATGTTCCACGTGCACATCCTGCTTTAGAACAGTGTTTATCTCTGGGGTGTCAAGCCTTGAATCTGCTTGCGGGGAAGCCCCCTCTACCTTTGCTGGGGAACTCCTATCAGGAGTGCAAATCTCCATGTTATCATCTGTTTGAAGCACATCTTCCACTCTGCTTGGAACACTTTGTTCAATATGGTGAGTCTTTGGGGGAGAACTGGTGACATTTTCCTCAGTATTTAAAGCTGCAGGACAAGTGCTAGGCTTAGTATCATCTTTAGCAAGTTGATCAAGATCAGAAATAGTCACTTTATTATGTTTACCTGAAAGGCTGCCCTGGTCACAAGATTTCTCAGTTTTTAGAATATTATCTTTTATGATTTCACTGTTTTCAGAAATTTGTTTTTTCTCTTTTGTCTCCTGAGTAACTTGTTTTTCATTCATCTCTTCTTCTTCTTCTTCACCAAACTCTAGTGGAGGCTGCCAATGAAATGCTTGTTTTCGTTTTGGAGCCTTGTGCTTTTTGTCTTTTTTGGCTTTCAATTTCTCTTTCACTTTTTTGGTGTGTTCCTTTTTAAGACTTTCCTTTGAACCATGTTTGTGCTTCCGTGGCTTTCCTCTGTTGTTTTCTGAATTGCAATAGGATCCCTCCGAATCAGAAGTTGAGGACTGATGTTTACCAGATTTCCAAGCACTGTCATCATCAGGCAGTGAAGGATTTGCTGAAGATTTTGTTGTGGGTTTGGTTTTGATGTGAATTTCACTAACCTCTGATTCAGAATCTGATGTGGCCTCACCTTCCTCTTTATCAGAAGACCGCCGGGAATCATTTTTACTGTTTTTAGTTACATCTCGCTCTGAATCTGACTCAGAGTCCCATTTACTGCCAGCATAATTCTTCTTTTTGGGCTTACTGCCATGTCTAAAGTGATCAGAAAGATTCTCTTTCAAAGTTCTTTTTTTTGAACGAGGGCATTCTTGTTCAGGCTTGGATTTCTCTTTGTCTCTGCTTTTTTCCTGCTTCTTATTCATTACTTCCATTTTGCCCTGCTTCTCTTTTTCCTGTGTAACATGAAGGCTTGACTGTTCACTCTCTGAAGAATAATCTAAAGACGACCTGCTTTCGCTGTACTTTCTGTGACGTGAAGTCTTGTCTCTACCTTTGACATATTTACAACGAAGTGTCTTTTCAGAGGTGCTGTTGTGCCTTTTATTTGAAGTGTTACTTTTTTTCTCACTGGATCTAAATTTCCTCTTGGCTCGTCTTCCATCATCACTGCTAACAGAAGTATATGAGGATGATCTACTGTACTGTGAATGATCACTGTACTTATTTCGTGAATGAGATCTAGATGATGGAGACCTAGACCTTGAATGTGAACTCACCAGACTACGTGACCTTGACCTTGTATATGATCTAGAATAAGATCTACTCCTAGAAGACCTGCTGCCTGACCTTGGTGAACTTCTGGAACTTCTATCACTGTATTTTGAGTAAGCACTCCGATCACTTTCTGAGTTTTTTTCTCTTTTATGGTAGGATGATGAGCTTCCAGTTTCTTTAGTATTTGCTAAACTGTAAGTGCTCTGGACGGGCAGCAAATGGGTTGTTTTAGCTTTCATTTCCTGAATTCGCTCATAGGAGGGCTTCCAGGGCTTCTGTCCAGGCTTCCACCTTGAAGGCGGGGGACTGTCACTCAATGGTATTACAGGAATATTTTCTGCCACTACTGGCTGTACTACTACGTTTCCATTTTGTGGTACTGTTGCTCTTAAAGGTTCTGTTTTAACTGGTTTATTTTCACCTAATTGACATGATGCTCTTCTTGGTGATTTTGATGCTGACCTTTGGTGCCCTGACTTGGAACTAGATCTGGACTTTGATCTACTTTGAGAATGTGATGAGGATTTGGATACAGTCCTTGATCTGGAGCTTCCTCTAGAATCTGACCGTGAGACAGACTTTGATCTGTAGGAGTCTCTGCTGGAATGGGTTGAAGAGCTCTGGTCATCCTTGTCAGATTTAGACCAGTCCCTCTTTGATGAGTGATGAGACGACAAAGAGGAAGACTGAGATCTCCTTTCTCTATCGCACGAAGACTTTATTCGGTGAGTGGAAGATTTTGAGGATTCTGCGTCAGATGGTGTAACAATCCTTCTCTTCTTAGTCTGTTTGTGTCTTCTGCAATGCTTCTGCTTTTTAGCTTTCTTTTTATGCTTAACCTTTTTTTCCTTTCTGCGTTTTTTATGGTGACCATCAGAGTGTCTTGCTATACTAAGGTCTGAATAATATCCATTATAGGACCATGATCTGGATCTCTGGGACATGCTTCTTTCATCCCATCGGCTTGAACGGGGGTCACTTAACCTATAGGTAAGAACATAATATGCAGGCAATTACTTTTTTTTTCTATGCCTTAAAACACATTTCTTATTGGCAACAAAGTATCTGACAACAATACTTTAAGCACACATAAGCATGGCTGGCAGAGTGGTTCAAGTGGTAGAGTGCCTGCATATCAAGCATGAGGCCAAGTTCAAACTCCAGTATCACCAAAAAAAAAAAAAAGCATGTAAGCACAGATAAGAGGCATGAATCAGAGTTACAGGCCTGGTCTTGACCTTATGTCAAGACAAATAATGACAACCACTAACAGATTTACATGGAATTTTTTTTTTTTAAGCTAAGCAAAGAATTTCTGATTTGACAGGAAATTATTTGTGAAAAACAAACCAAGAGCACTGTTGACACATTAAGTTTCTGGCTATGATCTGTTCATAACTCTCTTCCTCCAAGAGCAATTACTGAGAGAGACCCAAATCAAGTTCCCAAACAATGTTAAGCCTCTGCAGATATAGTACAGCTACCTGAATCTATCTATCTATCTATCTATCTACCTACCTACCTATCTACCTACCTACCTATCTATTGATCTATTTAATTTCCACAGTGCTGGAGATAGAACACAGAAACTCACATATACTAGGCAAGCACTCTACCACTAAGTTATATCCCCAGCCCTTGCCTGAATATTTTTTCTTAAGAAAAAAGTATTTTTATTTTCTCTCCACCTTTCAAAGGTAATCAAGACTTTCTCCTTAAGGTTATAGTTAAACTACTTAAAGCAGAAATTGAAGAAAAATTACATGAAAACTGATGGAAGCTTTACAATCTTAATGGTTGAGTCAGGGCTCAAAAGTGGGAGTCCTCAGCAACACTGTGTCTAAGATACTCCTACACAGCAGATGCCAGCCTTTTCCTCCTCCTTCCAATTTCAAACTACTCTGCAAGATGCCTGCGCAGAAACGGGGAATTCTTGTATAAAGAATTATACAGGGCCCCCTTGGTGTATTTTTCACTACCTACTCTGGGGCCAGCCCATTTCTAACTAGATGTCACTTAGGGTAAGACATTTCTCAAGATGCCACAGTCCCTGGGGTCAGAAGTTAATGCACACACTGGGTTTTCCTATCTACCTGAGACACCTGGTGAGTAAAGAATCTTCTATTTGATTGTAAAGTCCTGATTATTTCTGAAATTGAGTTCTTTAAGACATTCAGCAGAGAGAGGACAGAATTTAATTTAAATCCCCCAAAGCCATTCATCTCACCCAATTAACAGCACTACTGTCACCAGGTTTTCCCAAGTGTACTCTCTTTGGTCACAGTTCAATTCTGACTGTAAAATTTTAACAACAAGCCCAGGATTAGGCCTCTAGTACCTTAACATATAAAATACTGCACACACAAGCCTGGGCTTACACTTGGAGCTCTTACTTATCTCCTTTACTCCATTTCTCTCCACTTGGTGGTCTGTATGCTCTTAATCTCTGCATTTCCTCTTTCCAATGAGGAGGAGTTTCACTGCTGTCATCATCTTCTGACTCAGAACAGGACCTTGACCTTGGAGGTGTGTGATAGCGCTTTAAACACAAAGAAGGGAAGAACCATTTTTAAAATGTTTCTCAATTACAGTCTACTTGAGGACAGTTGGGTAAAAGATCCAATCTCAAATCACTTCCTTCAAAGGCAATGATTTATGTACCAAAAGTTCAGTAGGAAGTTATTTCAAACATAAGGCATTAAGAGAGATGGGAATGGGCAATGATACTCCCTTGTAATCCCATGGGAAATTTTCCTTTTAGTCCTAACAGTTACATTCATTAGCCTAGGTTATTCAACATACTAAGATTTTTCAACATACTTACTGATTGTTTCACACGTTATATCATTTCACACTTAATTAAACCCATCCAAATACAGCAGTAGACTTTAATCCTATAATAGCAGTACCTTCCAAAAACTGGCAACTACAACTGACTCCCTGCACAGATTTTGTATTACAACCTAAAATCAAAGTTACGATTTTACTGATAGGTTTAAAAAAACAAAAAAAAGAAAGGCTGCTGCTTAGTTAAGTAATTTGAAAACAGAAAAGTCTTAACACACATACAATTGTGCCCCTTCCTTTAATCTTCCGTCCAGACTTTGATACAGATGGTTTCTGATCACTTACAATGGGTGCAACATCTGGAATCTTCCTAGAAAAGAAGTTGTGATGAAAACGTAAAATTACCAAGTACTAAGGCAGTTTCCCAATGTTTAAAGGCAGAACTTAAGCCCCTACAACAAAGTTTCACAGTATTTTTGTGACCTAAAAATCATTTAAAATTCGAAACTTAATATCCACAAATTTTACTGAATCATAGCCACATTCTTCTATTCATATATTTTCTTGTGCTGTTTGTATGTGGTGCGCTCACACATACAAATGCTTTACATTGCTATGAGGTGCAGTACAAATCACCAAGATTTAATTACAACTGGTCAGTATTGCAAGTGCTGTACATATCACCCATCTGCATAAAAATATATTTCAAAGATGAAAACTGAGAATTATCTCATTTTGTGAAATATCACATAAAACTGAGATACATAATATCTCAGTGCACCTAGCACATGCAAGGTCCTAGTTTCAAGTCCCAGTACTGCTAAAAAACAAAAATCATCTCATTGCAGATGCAGATGAACAGCATTAGCATTATCTGCATTAACAGGGAACACTAACTTGAATCCTAATTAAATGAAGTTAGTCTCCCTACCAAAAGAATTCCATTCTTCTCATTAGTAGACCTGTATTAAGAAAGAAATGATAACTTGGTTTTTATTATTATTTTATTTTGTTGACAAAATATTTGTGGAGGTGGTCATAGTGGTACACACCTGTAATTCCAGCACTTTGGAGGCTAAGGCAGGAGAATCAAGTTCAAGGCAGCACAGGCTACACAGTCTCAAAAAAAAAAAAAATTATGAAGGGCTGGGGTGTGCTCCTAACAGTGCATGCCTGGATTCAATCCCAGCACTCCACCCCCCCAATATAATGAACACAATGATAACCTTGTGAGGAGACCTCATCGTGAACAGGTACGCGCACAACTTCTCAACTTTCAAAGTAACTATTCATAGGAAACTTATGACAGCAGTCATTATGATAGTTCTATACATGCAATACATTCTTTTCTGGGGGGCCTCACTATATTGCCCAGGCTGGACTTGAATTCCTGGGCTCAAGTGATCTTCTCAAATTGTTGGGACATTCTTTTAATAATTCTAAATTTAAGGGCTGGTGGAGTGGCTCATGTGGTGGAGGTGCTTGCCTAGCAAATGTGAGTCCCTGAGTTCAAAAACTATGTCCCCCCACAAAAAATTCTAAATTTAAATCTAATACATAAAGGACATTAGACAGTATTTCCCGAGACCAAATCTAAAGCCACATATTAGCTTTTATAATGCAGAAAACCTATTACTGAGCAAGTTAGCAGTAACATATTTATGATACTAAATTTTATCTCTAATCACCACAGTTAATTTTGCAATATTAAAAATGAAACATGGCCAGGCACCAGTGGCTCATGCCTATAATCCTAGCTACTCAGGAGGATCACAGTTCAAAGCCGGTCTGGGCAAATAGTTCATGAGACCCTATCCTGAAAAAAACCTATCACAAAAAACAGGTGGTGGAGTGGCTCAAGTGTAGGCCCTGAGTTCAAGCCCCAGTACTGCAAAGTAAAAAATGAAATATGTTTCATCACTCAATTGGATCCAAAGAGTTTCAACTGACCTGATAAACTATTCTGGTAGGTAAAACCTCACCCCTTAATGGAAGGCCCAGAAGCTAGATCAGTAACAAAATCTTCCAGACCTCTAAAATGAACCTCTCCCCATGCTAGGCATGGTGCTGCACATCTGTAATCCCAGCTAAGACAGGAGGATGGCTAGTTTGAGACCAGCCTGGGCTACATAGCAAGACTCTATCTCAAAACAAAAAATAAAGAAAGAAAGAAAATAAAAAAATGTCTACCTTGGTCAACCTACCCAACCTCCTTTATCCACTGTAGGTGAATTCCAAAGGTGAGGTATATATTGTTCATGAATCTGGTACCTCTCACAGTAGCTTTCAATGGGCTGTGAACATGAGTCATGTTCAGGAAATGAGTGTGAAACTGCAGTGAGCTGATGGAATTGTCCGTCAGAGAGATAAAAACATAGGCTGCCCACCCTACTTACGGTTCAGGCTCCACAGTGACAATAGGCATATCTCTTCTTAGTAAAAATCGGTTCTCAGGTACTGGAGGAATCTCTTCTGGGCGGACAACAGGCTTTTCCCTTTTAGCATTTGATTCAACTGACCTTTTTTCACTGGTATCACTCCTCTCAGGGTGACTTTGAAAGAACAAACCAAGTCAAGAATTAACATGTGCAATGCTTTTGCTTATCATAATAAAAGTACATCAAACTAGATATTTAAATAACAGCAAAACTAACCATAGCTTAGAAGTCTCACTACAAAGGGTTAATTTTCACAGAGAACATCAGCCAGGCTACTAAAATTTTAACATGGAAACTGTCTAATGTTTTCTTTTTAAGAATTTCAAGGGCTGAATGCAGTGGTACATGCCTGCAATCCCAGCTACTTGGGAGGCAGACAGGAAGATCATAGTTTGAGGCCAACCCAGACACAAGTTACTGAGAACCTATCTCAAAAATAAGGCAGGCATGGTGGTGCATGCCTGTGGTCCCAGCTACTCAGGAGACAGGTGTAGGAAGATCAGAGTCCAAAAGTCAGCCCAGGAAAAAGTGTGAGACCTTATCTAAAAAACAAACCAAAAGCAAAAGGACTGGAGCACAGCTCAAGGGTAGAGTGCTTGCTCAGCAATTGTAAGCCCTAAAGTCAATCCTAGTTACTAGTTACTGAGAGAAAAAAAAAATCTTATCACCTGAAAACACACGCAAATCTTGGACATGAAATGCCTCTGCTACTCCTAGACTCGATAGATTTGTTTAGTTGAAGTCCAAAACTGCTATCCTTTGGTAACAACATGTAATAAAACTGAGCTTACAGAATTATATGTACTTTTCCCATTTCAGGGTGTGTGTGGGTGTGTGTTAGGTAAAGACTACCTTGGTGTTTCACACTTACCTTTTGGGGCTCATTATACGTTTACTCCTCGGCTCTTCTGAACTGCTTGCTTCCTTTCGTCTCTTTTTAGAATGTTTAACTTTTGGCCTCCTCTTATGCTTCTTTCTTCTGCTTCTCTCATGTTCAATTTCACTTTCTGAAGATGATTCTGAAGAGGAAGAGGAATTGGAAGAGGAACCCGAGTCTTCTGAATGTGTTGGTTTCTTCCTTTTTTTCTCAAAAACTTTTAATAAATATTAACAAAATCATTAGTACTTCACACCAGTGCCTACCTTTAAGAGTAAAAAATGTGATTACTATCATAAAATATGCTTTATGTATAGAAAATTAAAAATGAAATTCAAATAAGCACTTTTTTCAAACTGATAATACAAATTGCAAAATTTCTAAAGTAACAAAGTCCTAACCTTATGAACCCTATATTTTAGGTGGGTCAAATTATGCCAGTAATTGCATAATATGGCAAGTGATAAATGCTAAGAGAGAAAATAAAGCAGAGTAAAGGGAATAGGGAGAGTGGGGGTAGTTTAAGATAACATTTGAGCAGAGACCTGAAGGAAGGGACAAGTCATACAGATATCTTAATTAAGAATCTGAACAGAGAGAATAGCTAGCACAAAGTCCCTGGGTGATTGGCATGTCTGAGTAAAGGTCAATGTGGCTGAAAGGCAGTAATTGAGAGGAAGAGGTCAGAAAAACTGCAAAGAGCCAAACTTTCCAGGGTCTTACAGACAGTTGACTGACTGAGAAGGAAACCTTTGGAGCAAGAGTGACACAGATATGAAATATGGTTTTAAGAGGATCACTTTGGTTGCTGTTAAGGATGGCAAGAGCCAAGAACATAAGCAAGGTGGGATACTGCTGCTGAGGAAAGATTACAGGAGAGCAAGGAGACACAGGCAAGTCAAACAGTTGTGAGGCTACTGCAATAATCCAGGAAGGGATGGTCTAGATCAGGCTGGCAGCGAGGGGAAAAATAACACAGGTAAGATTCAACAGAAACTGATGGACTGTATATAGGGCATGCTACAGAAGCATCAGAGCTACTGTTACACCACTCATACATACTTTTCCACTACTGCAACCTAAGAGGTATCTTTAGGTTATAGTCTGCAACCCAGCTACCTCCATCCCCAAAAGCTCTTACCATCTTTTGTTGATTTTGTGGCAAGCACCCCACAGTCAATGACTCGCACATCTGCATAAGGTCTGCTTGCAGCATCAGTTTTCAAATTTTCAATTTGTTCAATAACTTCAAAACCAGAAATAACCAGCCCAAAGACAACATGCACCCTGTCACAATATAAATTCAAGAAGAAAATTGGTTTGATGACAATTAAGCTAAGAACACTAAGAGACATTTGTTTTCTTGGGGAAGGGAGAGTTGATAGTTCTGGGATCTGAACTTGCTAGACAAGCACTGTACCACTTGAGCCATACTACCAGCCGGAGATAATGGTAATATATGACACGTCCACAATATCTGAAAATATAATCAAAGTTTTTCATTCCTATAAAGCAACTACATAGGAATGAGAATTGAAATCTACTTCATAAAAGGAAACAATGTGGCCCAGTTTGGGCCTCGGTTTTGTGCCTTTATAACAATGGTTTCTAGCCATCTTAGGGCAAAGTGTGTGGTAAGTTAAGATTGCATCTGATATTGAGAAATCATCTTTACAGGGACACTCAAGACTCCATGGCTGAGAAGCCCATCCATGGGCACAGGTGAAAGACCCCTTCATGAGAGCCATGGGAATTTCACATGGCACCCTGTATCCCTCAAACTGTCTATGACAGAATAAAATCCAGAGTACCACTGAGGTTCACTCATGGTCAATCTGTCTTTAAGGCTGGCTACCCAAACAACTCCCCAAAACAGTAAGTAAGAACACAATGCTTACCCATCCAGGTGTGGAGCAGGTTTTGTAGTACTGTGTAATAAACATCAACACAAAGATGACGTCAAAAATGACATGTTCAGATGAAGAGAGCAGAAGGGTTTAAACACAGCATGTAGAGAACAAAGAAGTAAAGATAAAAAGATAGGGGAAAATGTTAAACATAATATACATCTAACCCAAGACCCAAAACAGCAATAGTAGCCTAACCAACTTACTGATTTAAAAAACCATTAGGATGAATTGCAAAATCATCTCTTAGCAATATATATATTCGAATATATAAAATAAGTTTTCATTTGAGTTATAGCCATAAATATATAGCATAAATACACACTAAAATTAAAGTTACTCTCAAATCCAAAAGAACAAAACCAAAAATCCTCAAAATTCATTGGCATAATTAAACAAGGAAACACACCTATCACTTGCCCTATGGGAAGGAAAGTGTGATCAACACCTGCCCTACACACTTAACTGAGTTCTTCTATTTGCTATTTCTCATACTGTGTCAGTCTGCATCTTTGAGACAGGCAGATGGAGGAAGGCCTTGGGAGTCCTGTTCTCAGCACCTCCTGCCCTCTTCCTTCACCCAAGGTGAAGTTCTGCCACTCATAACAACTCTGAAAATGTGACAGGGAGGAAACTTGCAATCTGCCAAAAACTTCTGACAGTCAAGTCAGCAACGATGGGTAAACATTATAGACATCTTAAAATTCCCATGCCCCCCAAAACACTCAAATAGCTTCTTCTATAGTCACAAGCTGTCAGTCAGTCATTCTTAGGAAGTCTACGGGGTACATTTGGTTAAAATACTTTGAATCCAAACTGGTTCGCCCATAGCATTTTCACAGATCTTCACACTGTGTGAATTTCAGTACAAAAATTCAAAAGCAGATAACTAGACGCAGAATGATACACTACCAGCATCTCAATTTATAAGAATAAGAATTGGCATTTGAGAGATAGTAAAGGTCCCTGGATATCAGGCCATATTAAAGCAGTCAATTGAACTAGAGGTTCCCATATAAATTTTTATGTCCATTCTAAGACAAGTATATCAACAAAAACAATTTAAACTTTCACAACAATGCCAAAAACTTCACTGTACAAGAACTAGAATGCTTATACTTACATTAATAATATTCAGTTCTATAAAAGGACTACAGTCTTTAACTTAAAACAATTAGAATATGAACTTAGGTTTCAGAAATTTAAAGGAAATCTTGAGTTTTAAAATCACAAATCTCAATAATTTCTTAGAAGACTGAGGAGAAATTCAAAGACAGTGCAACCATAAAAATAAAACAGGCAACAAAAAGAAAGAAAACAACAACAACAAAAATATAGAAAAATGGTGGATGCAAATGTTCAAACCTTTAAACTTGCATCCAGAAACCACCTTGGACAGTTAACTTTAAAAGCAGAAATATGCTTCACATAATTAAAATTTTTACCAAAGCACACTTAAAATAAGAAGAAACCAGTACACAGGCTAGACAGATTCCTTTATGCAAAAGATGTAAAGAGTGCTTTCAACAAGGTGAAAATTTCCCACAACATAAGGAATCAGTCTCAAATATGTAGAAGTGAAAACAGTTACTGATAAGATACATTCTTCATCCTTCCTTGATTCTGACATTGGGGAAAGTATACAGATTTTTCTAGAACACACAAAGCCCAATTCAATCTGTCTTCATGGCTGACAGAGATGCAATATAAAGCACCTTTTGGCAAGTCTTTGGAGCAAATGGTGAGATCAAGCATTCTAGCTGACAATTGCTACTACTGACAAGTAGCAATATACTATGGGAGACTACTTGAGGATGGAGGAGGTTTCTTTCTGGACCTTCAAGTTCAGGGTGGTGGTGGTGCTGTAGTTTGAACCCATGTCCTCACATGTGCTAAACACAGGTTCTACCTCTCAGCTACACTCTCAGTCCCAAGTCTGTTTTTAATTTAAAGACTGAAGAATAAACAAGCTTGGTCCTTTGTTGCAGTAGTGAAGAAAACAAATGAAGATAAGACTTAGTCTTTCTATTGAGGACAATTTTTTTTTTTAATGGTACTGGGGATTGAACTCAGGGCCTATCCTACCTGCCAGGCAAGCCACTTGAACCACACCCACAAGTCCTATCAACTTTTAATCTGCCCATAGTACCCAAACGGAAGTGAATAATGTATTTTATTTGCATCTGCAATTTAGGATGCAGAAATATAAAGTTGTACTTTAATTGGATTTGACTACATATTAAGAATATTGAAAATATTAAACAAAAAGAAGCCCACTGGGGTTCTAAGCCTCCATTCCAGGAGTACAAGTCCCAATGTAAAGCAAGTTTACAGCACTACATGAATAAACAGAGAACATTAGCTAAATGGGCTCATAAAAGGGCAGAGGGAAATGATTTGCTCAGTCATGCTTACTAAAATGGGCAAAGAGAGCTTATCCCACAAACTCTAAACTGTATTCTTCTTTCAAAACATAAAGAACTATGTAATGGTGACATACACTCAGTAAATTAAGACCTTATTCAAGATAGCCAAAGATAATCATAAATGTGCAGGTTTATGCATTTTTATTAAAACATGCCTAAGGGAAACAACCACAAAGAGCATTTCAAATTATTAAACCTTTCATATTTATACATTTCTATTTCCTCCTGTCACTTAGAGACACTGATAATCCCAGTTTCCCTATCCCCAAATCCACTTAAAAAAATATCTGTAGGGATCATTTAAACCTTATAAATCTTAGAAACTGAAAACTGTCACTGTTACTCCAAAGAACAATCTATACTTTTACACTATCATCAGAGAAGCTTTGGCCACTGAAATGAGATCTAAAATCTTAATATAAAATATAATCCCACTGTCACTGGAAGATGTATAGAAATAGTATAAATAAGGCATCGAACTTAAAATATATTTCCCAGGATTAGACATGAGCAATAAAACATACTTGTTTTACATGTATTGCTGCTATAGAGAACAAGCAGAACAGCTTTTTTTTTTTCTTAAAATGTTTCAATGCATATAACAACAGGATTACAGAGATAAAGGCAAAGAAAGAAAGAGAGAGCCTTAGAGTAATGAGACATTACCTTTGGAGCGCACGGTGTAACACTCTTTCTGTAAATTTTACACAAAAATGGCAAGAAATAAATTGTAATACACTTTTAAGACAAGACTGAATTTATGTTTTAATATCAATATAACTTTGAAATTAAACACTATAGAATTTTATGCAAAGCAAGAAAGCTTTTAAAATGGAGGGCTCTAAATTTTCTTTCACATAGGGTATCTGTGTAGAGATGAGGTATGCTTAAGAAAAGCATTCTGTGGTTGGTGTAGGAATATGTTCAGGTCTTTAATACTCACACAGGGTGCCAATAATAGCTATTAACAAAACATTACATTTCCTTTCACAAATCCCAGAAACTAACTAAGACAACTAATATCTGCCTCAAAAAGAGAAGTATCTTGACTATGAACATAAATCTGAAAGTAGAAAGTAAAAATTTCACTGGAAAAAATTAAAATAATGCAAAACAGAATTTCAAGAAACTCACTTCAAATAGTTAAAGAACCTTCTATACCTAAAACCTTTCTTCAGTTACACACACAATAGCATACTTTCAGGAGCTAGTAAGTCAACATTTGGACTGTAGCTGCTGTTCACTCCCATTACATACTTTGAAATTGTCAAGTCACTGAACATCATAATAGTAAAATAATAAAGCAGCATAACTAGAATTTTAGGGATTTCCTCAGAAGATAAAAAGGGAAGAGAGATGAAAGTGTCAGAGTGTGCTGTCAAATCTTAATCATAGCATTTTATTTTCCTATTTAATCTCTGATCCTCCCACCCCAACCTTGTAAGAATATTTTATTAAAAAGAATGCACACTGTGATCAATTTTAACTGAAAATACCTTAAACATATTTATTATCACTCAGATCAAAAAACCCTATTATACCATGAACAAAATGTTTAATAAGGGTTTTGGACATGTAAAATCTTGAAATATTTTAAAAGCTTTAATTTTTGTAAAGGCAATGATACATGGATTAGTAAAAATAATGTGCAGTTTTCAACGAATGTTGTAAAAAAAAGTACTCTATGTGCAAAATAGTACAGAAGAGGGAAATAAAGATAACTTGCTTTTTTTTTTTTTTTTTTTTTTTGCGGTACTGGGGATAACTCCTAATTCAGCCTTTGACATACAATTTTTTCTTTTTAACGCCTGAAACTATGACACTGTTACAAAAAAGTCATGAAACTACAGGACACAATTTATATTAGAGCCAAAATGGCCACCTTACAATGGTCTACATGTTCCAAACATCACCAAAATAGAAGAGTTTTATAAAATTCAGTACTAATATTAAAGTTATTCATATGAAACATGACTAGATACAAAATTCCTTCCATGTTGCTTTATGTATGTCACATAAATACTAAATAATATTAAGCCTAGAGGTTAGGGATGGCACTTGATATTCAGAGAAGTCAGTTTCAGGCTTCATGAACGTATTTGGTCATGAAATCTGAAGTTAACATATGAAGGTATTACTCTCCCTGCCTACTCCACCCCCCCAAAAAAAAGGAAAGAAAAGGCTAGACTTTCTCATACTATTAACACTAGCATTTATAAGTGGGTAGAAAGAAATATTTCTACCTCAAATCTACTTTTACTACCCAAAATGTCAACATAGCTTTATAATCCCCTTAACAGCAACTGCCCCTTACCTCCCCTTGCTATCTTATTCTTGAAATGATGAGTGTTCCTTTCTTCGTTAGGTTAAGGAACCATTCGAAAATCTGATTCCTAAGTGACACAAAACAGTATGTTCCCCCAACTTTGCCCTATTTATAACTGTTACAATATACCAAAGCTAGGGGTGTAGCTCAGTGGAAGAGTACTTGCCTAGCATTCACAAGGTCACAGGTTCGATCACCAGCACCGCAAAAAAAGAAAACTTTTGTTTAAAAGTCAAAGTCTGACTTTCCCATATTACCTTTTATACATATATTTTATAATTATCATGTCTACTGACAGTGGCCATTGACAGGGACTGTTCTACAAAACTCTCCAGGTCTTTGCTCCCTGGCTGTGATAGAAGGCCTGTACAGACTACTGTTCTAATGGCAGTTGCTGATCCTGATTTAGGAAAGATAAGTCCAAATGTGAAGCACCTTTCAGACTGGCGAAAACCAGGCAATTACAAGCATTTCCTTCAGGCAAGACAATGTTTGCACGTAAGTCATTCCACATACTCAGAAACTTATGCTCACCCTAGAAAACATGTTCTTCCTCTTATGACCACATTTTCATACCAAAATGTTTATTAGTTTATCTTTAAAATTAGGGAGTACTTCGTAAAAAAAAAAAAAAAAAAGGAAGATAAAATTCAAGGCACATAGGAAACAATCATGACTACTTTAGAGTCCTTTCCTAGAAAAATAACAAAAACTATGAACTATCTACCTAATCTTCTTAATCACTATTTTATGCAATGTTTTATCTTTTCAATGAATACATATAAAGACAATGAAAATTAGAGCCAAAATTATTATTATAAACAAAAAGAGAAAAAAATTTTCCCTCAATGAGATTTTATTTTGCAGCAAAATGCCTGCTGATTCTAAATACTTGGCTAAAATAAATTCAGAGCAGAGTGATTAATAAAATTATATAGCTTCTAGTGTGCAGCATTCTTTTCCTGACTATGGATTGCTTCTGGACTACAAGTAAAGTTTCTACATGGACTTCATAAGACTTTTCTTCCTTCTTTGGCATTATCCATAGAATAAAGAACTTGTCCTAGATGATCTCTAAATGCCTTTCTACTCTACAAATGTAACTCTACAGCTTTTATTTTGTGTTTGTACTGCTGAGGATGGAACCCAGGGCATCATTCACACTAGACAAGCACTCTACTCCTGAGCTACACTCTCAGCTATAGCTTTTATTGTGGTTTCTCCTTATCTGGTTTAAAAAAATAATAATAATAAAACAAGCAAACACTGAGTAACTTGGTAACTTTGGTCCCAAGTCTTTGAATTCCTTCAAAAATGCCTCAGCGTGAACACACCACTGTGTCCTTAATTCATGAGATAGGGCCATACATCCCTTCCTTTGTATTTCTTCAGCAGTACTATTCCAAAAGAATCAGTTTCTTCTACATAAGCTCTCATAATCACAATCACTGTGACTAATATGGCAGCAGATATAAGTAGTTATTGTAAAAATTATAACTAGTTTTATAGAAGAAAATCTGATTTTTTTCACCATATATAATTATTCCAGTCAAAGAAGGCAATACATGCAAAATTGTTTTTAATAAAAATGATGTCTGCCTTAAGAAGGGGAATTGTTAAAGTGTAAGTAATAAAGACAATAGTTTTGCACAGAGCACAAGAATCCTTAAGGGACATTTTGTAAATATCCACACTACAGAACCAAATTTACTCCTTAGGGATTACAGAATCACAGATTTATAACATGAACTACAAGTATAATTTTGTAAAAATGTACTAAAAGCCCTTTATAAGGCCTACAAAATAAAAAGCAGTTCTTTTTATTTTACTATGCATTCTTACATTATTGCTTCTTTTTCAGATTTCAGAACTGCTGTTCAGAGTGCCACATGAGATGTGTGGTGAAAGGATAAAAGGTAAGGCTACCTCTGGGAAGCCATCAGTTAGCTTTGTGGCCACCACAATAATAATGTGTCTACACAACACAACTTGAATACAGTACACTAGACTCATTCACTACTTGTAACTCCAGAAAGATTTGGGTTTGCAAACTATAGTTTCAAAGATTTTTCTTTTATGGGCCACCATCTCCATTTTACCTATACTGTCCATAAATGTCAGGATACATTTAGTTTAGAAATATGAGCATTAGCTTGATTTTATCCTCAACTCAAGGAAACTTTTGTTTTCAGCCAGCATAAAGAAAGCACACAAGTACACAAATAAAAAAAAAGAGAGAGAGATAAGGATTTTGGGTGTGTGCACAAAAAACATTCAATTACTTTCAAGATTGCTTATTAATGCAAGCTCTTTTCCAAAAGTATACTTCAAACTAAATTTTTACCAAATTGAAAGAAATTTTTCTTCTGATCATAAGTTCATAGTCACCTTAGTGCCATCTACAGTTAATTATGAAAACAAGCTTAAAAATTTTACTTCCAGTTTATTGATTTCAAATTTTTCATTTAATCTTCCTCTTAAATCATAGTCCAATGGAAAATTAGGTCATGTGGAAAGCAGTAATGGCCTTTACTAAACATTCCTAGTAAAGACTCAAATAAGTACTAAATAACAAAAACAAGATACTCTAAATGCTTGGGAGGGAGAATCTCATATCCTGGATTTTAATTAATATCTGTAGATGTACCAGTTTTAACTCTAGCATTTATAACAAGCTAATCTCTCTGTAATGATGACAAGAAGCTGCTGCTACCTGATAAATCAAAATTTAAATGTAATGATGCAAAAAAGAAATCTAAAAGAAACTTTAGAGCCCTCAGATGGTACCTTCTTGACCAATGAATCATTAGTTTTTCATGTTCACAGTTCAGATAAGCTTAAAAATGGAAATGGGAAACCTCAGAGTAAACAGTGTCTGCATTAAGTCACTACAAAGAATTTTAAGAATATTCCTCTCTACTTTTTGTTGGCCCTCTAGAAGATTAAGAACAGAAAACTACTCCAGTAAAAAGGTGTGATAACTAATAACGTATAGGATCCAAACAAGATACAGGGACAACTGTCTTAGGCATAATCACCTTCATCAGCTTTCCATTTTTAGGACATTCTTAGGAACAGAATGCCCCTTATCTGAACGTCATCAGATTACTTTTCAAACAAACTTAAAATGCGAGATTTTTTTCTATGAATAATTACTCCTTTAGAGACAGGGAAGCGCCATTCATATTTATCCATTCAGAAAGATGTCAAAGGAAGCTTTTTCTGATAAACCATAAATATTTCCCTAACATACACAGCACAACTGAGATTTATGTCTAATCAAAAGCATTAAACCTTATACTCACAATATTTTATATGATGGTATTATAATAAATATAGGTTTTAGAGTGGCTTAGATAAGAATATAACTAAAAGTATGCCAAAGGTCTTATTTAGAATTTTCATATGACATAAGTAAGTTTTTGGTTGCGTATGCATGTACAACCATGCAAAGATGTTTGTGCACATTTAGCATTTTAAAATTTGCTGAGTGACAATCTCATTGCTTTTGGCAGAAATGGGTATCAACAGTAGGTTAATTCAATCATGTATAAAGATCTCACAACATGAATTTTTAAAAATGATGGCTCAATAGCAATTCACCTATTTCTATACCTCATCAGGAACTAATGGAAACCTCTCCCAAAACCGGCTCAAAGAGGAATATACAATGGTTTATTCAACCAACTGTTGTCTATGCTCAGTACATCTTTGTCCTATACTATGAAGAAGTTTTATGTTCTAATCTAGTTTTCATAAACTGAGCCGTAAAATTTGGTAGGGACCAAAGCCAATTTCTTTTCTCATTATGAGAGAATATTTTGGAAGTGACATTTTTTTAAGTCCCATTCTTCAAACGCAAGATACATGCCGAATGCTGAGGCAGTCATTAGGGATTACCAGTTACTATACACACTAGAAATTCATAATACAACCCAAGTCACCAGAATTTTAGCATTGAAGTTAGTTTAACTATACCATCTTTCCCATGAACAGCGCTTCTCTGTTTAGGAAAAACTCATCTCTGAATTATGCCTACTCACATGAAAAACTGGGAACCATTGGTATGTTTCCCTCGATTTGCCATTGACAAAAGGAACGCTCTGTCATGTTTGAGAATAAAGTTTTCATCTGTATGAAGAAAACACAGATTCGTCAGCCTCCAATTATGAGCTACTTTTAAAGTAATGTTCAAAAAATAAATAGAAAGCAAAGGATGAAATTCCTCTTGGGGTCAGTACAGATATTGACAATATTTAGAAAAAAAGTTCAACTATGAAATAACAAAAGCATAAAAGGCCAAAAGGTACTAATTAAAGCCTTGAGGAAAAGAACATATATTTAATACTTTATACAAACAGCCTTAGAACAGTCACTTTTAGTAGTAACATACTTTGGCTAAATGACATATAAAACTGTTAGCTTTCAGGGAAACTGGTAAATAAATTTTTAGAAAAATTTCTATAGTAAAGCTCATTTTCTCCAAATTTCCAATTAACCAGCCAAATGAACTATTCATGGGTGAAGTTCAATAATCTTCTCACACACTTAATTTTTATAAGGCAATTTTTATTGTTCAATTGAAGTGAAGCTAAAATACGAGAGCAAAAAAATCATGTATGTTATGTGTTAGGGACAGGTCTAAATTATGTTAAGTATGTGGACAATCAATAGGATCACAAAATTATCCAAAAGCAAGTTTTATTTAAAAAATTTTAATGGCAAAATACAATTTTACAATGCAAAAGTATCTGCCATAGGGAACAACTACAACTACCATAAGGTGACCTACAATATTAAGCTTAAATGATACACTGACAGAACCAGCTAAACAGCTTATTTCCTACAAGTTCAAAAGATAAAATATCATCAAGATCACTTGGAAATGATTTCATTCCAGCAGAAGTCTCTCTAAAACTAACTTAAATTTCCTTTTAACATTTATACAAATAAATCTTTCTTTAGAACAAATAGAAACACAGAAAACTTTAAAAAGTGATTGATTACCTTGGGAACAGGCTTCTGAAAAAGAGTAGTAATCCATTTTCTCCCAAAGGAAATATAAAAGACTATTATAACACTGAAGCTTTCACAGCATTAAAACCTAGTGATATTGGATCTCATTATGGTTCTCTACAACTGACTTTTCTAAGGCTTTTTGGGGCAAGTGCAATAGTTAGATGTATTCAAATGCTACTACTGTAGGAATAAAACATAATCATATAGTTCTAGTATACAAAAGAAAACATACAAACCTTTGAGAAAGGAGGGAATTCCATTTTATTCAAAGACATTGCTTGGTTTATGGGGGAAAAAAAACTCACAACTAGATTCTTTTCCCTAATGTAGAATTAACAGCCCGTTGGGAAAAGAAAAAAAATACAGATGCATGTATGAAATGACAAAGAATATTCCAGTGTTCAAGCAATACAGAAATCCAGCCACAACCTGACCCAGACTGTCCGTAGATTTATTAGGAGGGCACAAGGGGGCAGAGTTGGAGTTGGTGTTACTGAGCTTTGTTCTCTTACCTTTTCATTTTGCAAAAGACCACATTCTCTATAAACAAAAGAATATGTTGACAGTTTTAGGCAGGAAGATAGGAGCTTTCATGTATATAGTTGCCTAACCTCCATGCTGAAAGTCATGTTTAACCATAAAGTTAGCCTTAATTAATCTTGTCAATTAAAAGCTATATATTACACTATAATTTATCCCCAAATTCATGCAAATAATTTTCATGCAGCATTAGTTTCATGCAAAAAGTGAACTATAAGTACACCTCTTCTCATTAAAAGTATATGACCAAACTTCTTTTAATATCAGAGCTGAAATAAAAGACCATAAAATATTAGGCCTTACCTTTAAAATATCCACCATAAATTGATTCTCCACCTTTTCCATTACCTGCAAATAATAAGCTACCTTAAGCAATAATGAAAAATTTAAACTTACTAATTAATACATTTAAGTTGTTATTTTTGTTTTGTTTTTTGGAGGCACAGTCTCACTACATAGCCCCAGGCTGACCTCGAACTATAAAACTCATGACCCCCCTGCCTGTGCCTCCTGACTGCTAGAATTACAGCGTAAGCACCACTATGCCCAGCTATAAATTATTTTTGATGGTTTTAATTTGCTGAAGGAAACCCTGAACCCTGTAATTGCTGCAAATAGTATAATTCTAAGAGTCCTTACTTAACTTCATCTTTAGAAGATTACAATATATATCAAAAAATGATCTCTACAACCCACTTATTTCAGACAGCAATCATATAGACAAAGTTCTACAATAAATGCAATTAGACAGTACTTTGGTATTCACTATAAGGGACTTTATCAGGTAATTATAATATTGCTAAAATAAATTACATAAAAGCAAAATAAAATGTCATACATAGCACTTTACATTTTTATACATTCTGGATCTACAACATTCATTCATCTAACAACTATGCACTGACCACATAATATTTACATCATTCTGTGTCATGATCTTTATAGTTAAAAGTAATCGTGAGACAATTAAAAACTGATTGTTGGAGTTAGGAGAAATGTAACTTTTAGCTCTACCTTCACTGAAGTCCCCACCCTGAATCATAAAGTTTTTAACCACACGGTGGAATGTAGAACCTTTATAACATAACTTCTTCCCAGTTGTTTTCCCAAGGCCTTTCTCCCCTAGAGGGGAAAAAAAGAAATAAAGTTTAACTATAAACCCATCCTTCCATGAGAAGAAACCAAACACTCTTCAGTAAGAGATATAAAAGAGAGACACATGGCATGACAATTTAGCATGCACATTAACACATGAACCAAAGTAAGCAATACAAAGCAGTTTATGTTAAATTGCTTGGTACAGAAACAACTCTATATGCTACAGAAGATGAAACTGGAGATGATTATTTCTCTAAAGAATGGAATCAATAAGTTGATGCAAAGATTGTGTAAGTGTGTCCAAGCATGGCTTTTAAAATTTTAGTTTGCCATTTCTTATTTTAAACTAACATTATCGCCATTTTTGTACTTATTCAGAATATAAGTCCAATGATTTATGATAAAGAACTTCATTATGTTTTACTTTTTCACCTTCTAGCCCTAAATTTCTTGTGAAATTTGAAATGCTAAATTTATTCAAAATATTGAAATTTGTAAAATTCTACCAAGACAAATCAATTTCAAATGTCTGTAATTTTTATAGACCTCAATGCATAGAGAAGATTCCATTATATAGAAAGATTCTTACTTTCTTTTTCATTTCTTTCTCCCTTTTCCTCTTAAGAAATGCTTTCTTAATTCCATACAGAAGTCTGCATAAATATTTTAGAGCTGAAAAACCTCGCTTCATGGACCATTATATTTTCATGAAAATACTGACTGTGTTAAAGCAAAGTAAAACTGTAAGGTATGACTTCTTAAAGGAAATTATTTAAAAGTTCACTTACCTGAGCACAGGCAAAGGAAGTTTTTGCATGTTTTTGGACATATGTCTGAGAAGAGCTGAAACATAATACGACCAACTGAAATAAAACACAGGGGAAAAACAACAGTGAGCAAGTTGATTAAATATTCCACATTTTATACAGAGAAAGAAACAAATAAATAGAACAAATTTGAAGATCCCTTTATAGTTATTTTAATTATTAAATCTCTAATGGAAAAGAATTTAACTTGAAGTTATCAAATAATAAAAACTCCACTCTTTTTTTGTTCTTTGGTGGTGCTGGGGAGAAAATCCACCCACTCTATTAATTAGCATTACAAGTCACTTGCAGGCCAGGTAGCGCATGTCTGTAATTCCAGCTACTTAGGAAGTGGAGGTAGAAGGATCTCAGTTTGAGGCCAGCCTGAGTAAGTTGAGACCCTATCTCTTTAAGCAAGCCAGGTGTGGTGGTACATGCCTGTGATCCCAGCTACCACAGGAAGATCTCAGTCCAAGTCCTGACAGGGCTAAAGCAAAAGATCCTTCCTGAAAAGCAAACTGAAAGCAAAAGGCCTGGGGATGTGGCTAAAGCGGTAGAGCACTTGCCTAGCAAGTGTGAGCCCTGAGTTCCATTACAATAAAAAAAAAAAAAAAAGACACATGCAGCCAAAGAGGTTCCAGCCCTAAAATTCTAGGATTTGAAGTGCAGTTTATATGAGCCTTATATATTAGCTCCCTTTTAGTACAGTCTCCTACCTATACTATTAGTGCACTTTTAAACTTTTAAAAAACTTTGTTTTGTCATTCTGGAGATTGAACCAAGGGGCTTCATGTATGCTAAGAAAGCACTCTACTGAGATACACCCCGAGCCCAAGAATACTCTGAATAATTATGTGATTTATATTCCCCCACCCCAATGATTGCTAGTCCATCATATAAGATAATCTATTCTGGCCAGTACAGTTAGAAGAAGGTTCTTCTATCTTGTGTATTCAGATTTCTTTCTTGATACAAGAACTGTTTGAAGCCAACTTCACCCAACTTAACAATCCTACCCTCTGAGAGCAGAAAGTGTGTTGGTTTCCTCAGAAGCACCAATATTCACTCCAATAAACAGAGAATGAGCAAAAACAACTGCAACTTCAACTTAACAATGACACAGAGGAAGAGTTCACAAACTTTGGTCTCAGGACTCTTTTTTTTTTTTTTTGTGGGATTGGGGTTTGATCAGGACTCTTTTAAACTCCTCCAAACTACTGAGCTTCTGTTCATATGAATTATAAAGCAAAACTCAGAAATTTTTACAACATGATACACCAGCTGTATTAGCTGTGTTAGCTGACAGGATAGTTATGTAATCTCTGGAAAATGTGACTACATACTCAGTAGAGAACAGGAGTGCAAATCCTCATTTTAGTGCTACTATAAAAAAGTTGACTTTATATACCTGCTGAAAGCATCTTATAATTACTCTCTTGAGTCCCTTTCCCCCTTATTCTACAAAAGATCCTGTTGGGCATTTTTATTTATTTTAAGAGACTCAAAGAATTAATCAAAACTAACTATGGACCAAGTATAAGTCATATTCAGTACAGACACAAAATGAGTTGATTTTGGCCCATGTATCACTAAGGTTTTATTTTTACCTACATCTGTCAGTTCCTTTGATGACAAAACAAAGTTATTGCATTACATGCCTCCTTAATGGAAAACAAGTGGAATCATGAATGACATCACAAGAGAAAACTTTCCTGTGTCAGCACTCTGAGCCTCTAGCTACAATGGAGCCAATTTTTAAAAGAATTTCAAAACTTTCATCATAAAGATGAAAGGAAGACTTTTTAGTAAGGCGCAATGTATACAAAGTCATGTCAGAATTTTTAAAGAATAAAGTATCAGTAATATTAAATATTAGTCTTTGTATTTACACAGAAACATTTCACCAGTGAAATGAAAGTACTTTAAGGCCAGGCACAGAGGCTCACATCTGTAATCAAAGCAACTCAGAAGGCAGGGTTCAGGAGAATCATGGTTCGAGGTCAGCCCAGGCAAAAAGTTAGCAAGACTCCATCTTAACAAAAAAGGCTGTCATTGCATCCTTGCAGGTGGAGTGCCTCGAGTGGTAGACTGCCTGCCTAGTAAGCGTGAGGCCCTGAGTTCAAACCCCAGTACCACCCAAAAAAAAAAAGCCTGTCATCCCAGCTACATGAGAGGCAAAGGCAGGAGGATCACCATCCAGACTGGCCTAGACAAAACCCAAGACCCTACCTGAAAAATAACCAACAGCAAAAAGGGATGGGAGCATGGCTGAAGTAGTAAAGCATTTGTTTAGCAAATGTGAGAACCCAAGTTCAAATCCCAGTATCTCCAAAAAGGGGAAAAAAAGTATTTTCATCAATACTCATAATTCCCTGAGAAATGGTCTGGTGAGTGTCAAGTTCAAAATCACCTACCTTTGCAGACAAAAACATTAGATCTTTGGGATTCCTGAAAGATGGATGCACTTCAGGATAAAAGGATATAATCAAAGCAATCAAAACAGGGCTTTTCTTGGGACTACAATAACCAACATCAAGTGTTCTTTCCAAAACCCACAATGCCTCAAAATAAAAGCTGGTGAAAATTTCACAGGTTTTTTAGTTTCTCCTTTATAGATGATTCGAAGTTGTATACATTCCAGTGGTTTAATACATTTGAAAATGTGATTGCATTCCCAGGTCTAATATTTAGAGACCAATTCCCAAGTCTAACTGCAATGATTAGAAATTTTAAAAATTCTCACATCTAATATTCTACTCTCTAACTTGGTGCAAAATTTTTCTATTAGAATTCTCAATCTCATGGTGCAAGACTTAGAGCTGAAGCTTCTTCCTCTATGACATTATGTTAAGACCAAGAAAAATCAAAACGAAACTGAATTGGTTTGACCTCAATTTCATGGTGCAAGGTTAAAAACACTGCCATACTGGAGAAATAATTAAAAATCCTAGAAAGAACAAATTAACCTAACTATACTTAGAAAGCATAACAAAGGCTAACTATGGATTTTTAGACATTGGTTGAGACTGCTTTATTAACTTTTTTTCTTTATGGTAGCTAAGCATTCACTATACCACTGAGATATATCCCCAGTCCTAAATTATTAATGCAACATGTCTGTATAAGTTCAATTTGAAGGATTTAAAAACAAAAAAGGTCAAAATTTATCAGAAAAGTAGAAATAAAAATGTTATGATTTCTATCTACAAAGAAGTAACACTTCAAAGCAAATCCTATACTGAAACATCACTACAGGGTATAGACCAGCAAATATTAACTTGAACTTAGCTCATTATCAAAACAAATAGTAGGTTTTCAACAAATATTTTAATTGAGCTGTTTTAATTTATAGAAAACATATATTTGACAATACTTTAATTCTGAAACTTGAAATACAAGATATTCTGAAAGTGTAGTCTTTAAAGAAAAAACAAGTCAGTGTGATTCATTCTACTTATTTTGAGTCATGGGAGGTATAAAGTCTGATTAAGAAACATTTTTTAAAAAAAACATCAAACTGTAGTTACAGAAAGGAAAAGACTGGGAACGAGTGTACAAAAAAAGAAGATTCTCTGGCCTCTGAACTGATGAGAAAATTAAGTATTACAGCAACCCCAACAATAAATGCCAGAGATTTACTATCTCCTGTAGTGAGTTAAGAACAATTGCTGATGCCTCTTTGGAAACTAATAACTCTTTTGAGTAAATAAGATCTAAGGAAAACTTATTACTTAACATTACTTAGAATTTAATAATTTAATGGGATTTAATAATCTTTTACAATCAGTCAATATCATTGATAATATTCTTTTACATATAAACATTTTTTCCCACAGAATTACTACTCATTCTAATAAATACACAGCTCTATAATGGTAAGACTAAAATCTGAAACTGGCTAGAGAAAGAATTAGCATGGTGTTTTAGGGGAAGAATGCATGACTAAATTAAAAAATAACACACAGCAACACTGGTTTCTAATCCTAATCCCGTATGCAGATCCTTAAAAATAAGAAAAGAAAGTCAAGATTGCCTGGGCCATGTCGTAGATCCTGATTTGGCCAGTAAGTGTCAGGAATAAAACCAGCAAGTACAAACATGATCAATATTGTTTCTTTGATCAATATTGTTTCTTGGTGTCGAGAACACTGAAAAAATGAGCACTGATTAGAAAAAATATTATGCTACAGAGGCAAAGAGAGCACACAGAGCAACTACATGCAAGGAATGAGGACAACAGTAAATGGGACAGATCGCACTGGTCAGCAGCAAAATCTAAAGGAATTTAAGGAATATTTACTGAGATCCTCCCCATATGTCAAAAAGTACAATAGTATACAAGCACAGTGCCCAAGTTTCAGGGAGCTCACATATTAGCAGAGAATGACAGATAAAAATGCAGTTGCTACATCATGTGACAAGCCATTAGTGGTATGAACAAAGTTCATATACAATTAGCCCTCTGCAATCACACATTCCACATCCGTGGATTCAACCAACCATGGATGAAAAAATATTTTTAAAAATGCATTGGTACTGAACATGTACAGACTTTTTTTTCCTTGTCACCAAATAGCTTAAGCATCCAGGGATTCTGGTGTCCAAGGGGGATCCTGGAACCAATACCCCTTGGGTACCAAGAGATGACTGAATAAACAGTCCAGGCCTGATGTATGTGAGAATAGAGAGATGAAACCATGATTGTGTCCCACTGTGTCCCACTGACTTACATAGTAAGTCATTACAGAGTAATGCTCAGTAAAAATCTGAATAATAACACTTGAAACAATGTTATCCAAAGGCAGGAAATTTATAAAGTACACCTTCATAAATGAAAGGAATACCTAAATGGACAGATCAAAAATATTCACTGTCTACTAAGAAAAATTATTTAAGACATAGCTTAATAAAGTTATTATTTTCAGAGATATAAAGGAAATGAATCTTTCTAGTGTTCAGGTAGTAGAATCATGTCATTTGCAATAAAAAAGAAGTAAGGCCAACCTCAAATGCCTTATATTAGAAACCTGAGGCAACAGAGCACTGTCTACCACCTT